TTGAGCAAACTCATTGTGGGTGTGACAAATGTTCACAATCAATAAAGTCCTTTGAAGGATTGATAACAACTAAAGTACAATAGTAGGTTCTCAGTGTTCATTCAAAAGTTCTGTATTTACAATTGTAGATCTTCACCAAAAGTTTTCAGGATAATTATAAATAGTTATTAATTAAGTTCTAGCTTCTTTAGAAAATGAATTATGATCTTTTATTACTAGCTTTTGAAATTATGCAAATTAAATAAAATTACACAAAAATTAGACATTATTTTTGGAGTAATAAGAAACGCATGCATGACATGTACGATATTTTATGAAAAGAATTTTTGAATTTAAAATTAGTAACTAAGTGCAGTAATGATCCTAATTAACGTGAATATAAATATATATGTACAGTTGAAAAAGCTATTGGGTCCAAATTCTTTTTGCCGCGAGTGAATTGGCATTCTCAAGTTTTTCAGATCATACGGCATCTGTGACCCAAATATATGTTTTATAACGGTTGAAATTGTTCATTTAAACCATCAGGCATCATCTTATGCTTTTGAGGTTTATAGGTAAATCCTTTTTTCAACTCTTTTTTTACATTTTTTACAGTCTTTCGCTTTAGTAACCATAAAAAAATGTTGAAATACTTCTTTTATATAAAAAATCAAACGAATGTCAAATAGAATTTAAAAAAATAGTTGAAATTAATTTAAAAATTAATTAAAAAATCTTTTTCTAACTGAATTATATATTGTATATACCTACATACTTTAATTAGAGAAAAAAATATTTTCATTTTCGCAACAATATTGTCAAACTATTCTCTCCTGAGTTTTTCATTTTTTGCTTCTTCCTTTCTCTCTTTTTCTTTTTTGTTTTAACGCAATTGGTGAAAAATGAGAAAAACTTTTGTGTCTTCAATTTATAGTTCCACGATCTATCACATTGTGGAATTTATGAAAAAAGTTTCCGTCAAAATTAGATTATTGTAACCATAAAAATTATTAAAAATAGTAATCCATTTTTGAGATAATGTTAAATTATTGATTAAATAAATTAACTAATAAAAAATATAGACCAATTAACTTAATTAATAAATTTAAAGTAATTTAATGTAATTTTAATTTCAATTAACTTAAAATTAACATTATTTTCTTTTTTTATTTATATAGGTACTTATTTAATTATCAATTTTATTATTATTTCAATTAGAAATTTCATTGTTATTTCATTTTTTTCCACTTTTTTTTCTGTTACATTTTTGTATAAATTAAATATAATTTTTTAAATTCTTGATTAAATGATAAAAAACATGAAAATGCAATAATAATTACCCTAAATTAATATTATATTATAAAAATGGTGAATAACGAAAAGTCGCACTAATAAATTGCCTTATCGTGTAGATTGCAACTAGTTCGAAAAACGTGGCGTTTGTTTTAATTGCTCTCAAGGGAAGTTCTTTTGCGAAGCTGTCTAAAAGCATTAGAAAGAAATATTGCTTTAATTTTCCACGAGCTCGATGTTACACTCAAAGGTCTTACCTGACAAGAACAATTTTCCAAGTAAATCGTTTATAATAACTGAAATTGTCAACTTTTAAGAATGGAACATCGAGCTAATGTGGGAATACTAAATCATATATTTATAAATATAAGTCACGAATAAAAAGCACAAACATTAGTTTTAACATTTTTCTTTTCATTTATTTTAATCGCGCAACTTTAATTTTTTCTCAATTTTTTTTTAATATTAATAATAATAAAATTTTATTCAGGTCATTACCAAGGGTAAAATTTTTAATTATTTCAAAATATTTTTTTAATTTAAAACTTACATTACCAACATTTTCTCCTGGGACAAAGTTTTCAACTAACATATTTTTATATATATGTATATAAATTAATAAAGATTAAAATCAAGTTACGTTACGATCAAGGGCAGAAAATGCCGAGATTATTTTATCGTTCATCAACGTACTTAAATAATTTTGCCTTCTTAGGAATTTTTTTCACGCTCAGATAGTCGCTTTTGATAAACGTCGTTTCCGCTATTTTATAAACACAAATTTTCCACCCTTTACATTAAAAAAAAATAAGATAATAAAAAGAAAGAGGATTTAAAAAATATTTTTTATAAAATTTTAATTAATATTTTTTTAAAAATAATAACAAGGAAATAATAATTAGATGTAACATTGTATATATTAGAAAAAAAAAATTAGTAATTTGAATGACAAGTTTACTTTGACCTTTCATTCTTATTTTTCATTCTCACAACAAAAGTGGAGCAGAGTTACTAGGTAACCTTAGCTATCGATCTCAATTGATTTCAAGTTTTAATTTTATTTGTGGAAACATTTAACTTTATCGAGTATGCAAATTAACGTGCGACAAAGTGATACGAATTCATTTAGATGAGAATTTAATTACAATTAATTATTCTTTTGAACATTGCACTACAAATTATTATCTGAGAAGAAAAATATTACATTTTCTAATATTAAAATAATTTACCAAATTTTTGAACGATTTTTGATTTATTTATTTTATAAATAGTAGAGAGATGAAAAATAAAAAATACCGAGAAACGAAAAAATTAATTATTCATACAGTAGTCAGATCTATAAAAAACGATTTCTTAGAGACTTCGGAAGAACATAGAAGTTGATTCTATAAAGGTTGAGAAATTTTATATACTTATTAATTACAGAAATAATATTTATAATTATTAATTATTATGTAGAAAACAATGTTACATTTTACAATAATTGTGGGAGGAGAATCTAATTTAAGTTATTACAAGCAGTATATGCAATGCCACGGTTGGAACTCAAATTAATTTGTGGTTCTGAATGGAAGGTGTTAATACACCATATATATTGATTCAATTTGGCACGTGTGTTGGAAACGCATAAACTTGAAGAAAGATTGATTTATAACTTTATAGAGAGTTTAGTCGCAAACTTTCGTTATAATCAAATAGCAACTTTTTTTTAGAAAAATTTCCTCTACTTTTTTTTTTTTTTTGTAACTGCTTTATTTATTTATTTGAAAATTTGAACGAGGTTACAAAATTCAAAATGCCATCTAGTAAAAAAGTAATATAATATAATAATACTAGAAACTTTACTTTACGTATACGCTCCACTGTTTATATATAAACAGTAGAGCATTCACAATAAATCCTTTCATGCTAACACAGGAAAAAATCAATCTCATCTCGAAATGGTTCGCCTCTCTATACAAAGTCTGTTGAAAATTGAATTATGAATATAGTTTGTTTTAAAAGTTGCTAACTTAAATAAAGAGTTATAACGATTGAGAGAAAAATAAATTGATTCTAAATTCTATAATTTATATTGAAAAATTAATTAAATTATTTTATTAATGAATGTCTTTTGATTTACTTTTTATCTGATTGAAATAAAATTTTTTACAAAATAAGAATATAAAAAAAAGTATTATTTTGTCAAAAGGAATTGCTACTTGTAAAGATATAAAGCTTTGTAAGAACACGCAGTCGTTTTGTCACTTTCATGCTTCATTGTCGAGTTCGCTTTGCACGAGCTTAGTACACAATTTTTTACCAAAAAAAAACCAAGAAAGTTTCTCTACATTATTGCTTTTACTACCAAGAACAAAAATTAATGGAATATTTTCTTATACACAGTATAAGAGAAAATTTATCACGCTTTAGAAGAAATAAAAAATAATTTCAATTTACGATTTTTGAATTATTAAATAAAACTAGAGATGGAAAAATATCTTTCAAAATTATTGTAATTTTAAATTTTTTATAAAAATAGTATTAGCCTTCAGTAAAATAAATATGAGTATGATAAGAAGATATAGAAGAGGTTTCTTACATGACTCTTATTAAAAACTCAAACAATACTGAAATGGAAATATCTATACATTTTGAGGACGTTGAGGAGATTCTAAATATATGTCTAGCAAGTAAAACCTCTTTTGACTCTGTCTAAATTTTCGAAACTTGAATGTGGATATTTTCGATTTAACAATATTGTTGACGTTCACTAATGATGTACATTTTGTATCGTAAATGCAAGTAATGCCTGAATAAACATTTATGAGTGATCATTATAAAGATTCTTGATTTAATTTAATTTAGTATCAATTAAGATTGGTTGGTACAATTACACAAATATATAATTTAGATACACTGAGAAAAATATGCTATTGAATCAATAGCAATTCTGCCAAAGGTATAAAAATTATTAATTCAAAAGCATATGCTATAGAATCTATAAAATATTTTACAAATTTTATAGCATATGCTTTTGAATCAATAATTTTTATATGCTTTTGGCAGAAATGCTGTTGATTCAATAGCATTTTTTTCTCAGTGTAGATTATTTTGTTATTTCTTTGATCTATAAGACTGTTTAAAAATATCCTTCGTTAATATATGGTTAAGTAATTTGTTGTGTTTATCAAAATTCTTGGAGATGAATAATACTATAATAAGCTGAACAGGTATACATATATATAGAGCAGTGTGTCAAAGGCGCTCGTACACCACACAAATTATGAGTATACTCGGAATTTTTCAGAAATTTCATTAATTTTTATTCACTTTGCACATAGAGAATTTGAATATCTTGCAATTAAAATTAGTGAAATCTCTGAGAATTTCCGAGTATTCTCAGAATTTGTGAGGTGTACAAGCGCCTTAATACAATTGCGAGATTGGCCAAGGATCTTATAGATGTACTCTAAATAGATAATTTCACGGTTATAATTCTTAAATACTGCTGGTAGTTGACAAATCGATCCTTCTCGGTTGAATATAGTTTATATGGTAACCTTTATACACACTATCTCTTCGACTGAATAAATTAGACGACGTCGAAACCATGCGCGCATATTTTTAAAAGTGAATTTTGTTCGCAGATGCTAACAGATAAAAAAATGGTTGTAGTCAAAATGTTTTTAAAATTAACTTGGACATTATAAAAAAGTTAATTAGAAAAAGAAATTCGAACTTACCCAACATTTTGAGAACTCGTCTCGACGAACGACCAGCACAATTTCTTTGCCGATCCTTACGACTTGAACCAGCAGTGATTCGACTATTTTCACTGCGTCCTCGAACTCGTTTTAGAGCATTGGACTTTCTTAATTTCAAGCCAATCAATGCATAGAGAATTGTAATCAATGTCATTGGTATAATAAAAAATAAAAATGTCGACAATTCAAATGAATGGCGTATTATCACAAATTTCATCATGCACATCACTGATTCAGGACCATGTGTCTCAACTAAACCAAATTGTAATGCCTGTGGAATTGCAAATGACAATGCAATCAACCAAATTGATAATATTAATTTTATAGCGCGCGATAATTTTGACATTGTTTGCGATAAAAATGGATGACATATGGCAACATAACGTTCAACTGTGAATGCAGTTATTGTTAACACTGTCGCATTTGTCGATGTTTCAGCGGCCAATCCGCGTATAATGCAAAAACATTCGCCAAATATATAGGGATATTTGAACCATATTAACCAGACTTCGGCGGGTAAACCGGAAATAAGAAGCAACAGGTCGGAAACAGCGAGACTAAAGAGGTAGTAGTTGGTTGCTGTGTGCATTGACTTGTTGCGCGCTATCACAATACACGTGCTAATATTTCCAATTGTACCAGTGATGAATATTGAAATATAAATAATTGTTATTGGTATGACAACGTAAAGTGTATCGCGACGTGGTCCCGTTAAAATATAATTCTCATCATCATTATTATTATTATTCTCACTATTTGACATGTAGTTCGTAATTGATTTGTTCATTTCACTTTCGATGAGTGATTCCCAATAGTTAGTGATCTCCGTTTTGGAATTCATCAATAACCACGCGTCAGTGGTCATCATCTTCTCGGCGCTATTCATTTGGATCTTCTTTTTTTTACGGTCACGTAAATAAACACTATAATTAAAGATCTTTCGATCTTTCTGCACGACGCTGTTTATTGTACATCTTCGTTCTTTTTTTCCTCTTTTTTTTTTTAATGTTTTTTAATGTTTTTTTATGCTTTCCGTTATATTTTATCGCTGTATTAAGATTTTTGTATTTCTTTTCCAATGCTTGTAACTTTTGCCGCTAATTTTTGTTAACTTTATTATTTAATTCCTTTATTGGTGAATTTGTTCTTTTAATTTGTTTTAGTTATGTTGCATTTTTTAACTTATTTTTGTTATTTCTTGGTTTTGTTGTTGTAATTTTTACTCTTTTTTTGTATTGATTTATTACATTTTTGTTGTGTTCTTTATTATTAAATTATTACTTAAATTTTTTTAATTTCTTAATTTTATTCTTGTATTTTTTAATTAATTAAGTTAAATTTTTTTCCTTTTGTTATATTTTTTAACTTGATTGTTGTATTTTTCTGTTCTTTTTTTGCTTTATTGTCGTATTTTTACATTTATTATTATATTTTTCTCCTTAATTCTTGTATTTTTACACTTATTGTTGTATTTTTTATCATTATTATCTCGATGATTTGATCAAATTTTTAATTTTCACTTTTTAGTTTACACTTTTGAATAAATTTATGTTTTTATTTTTTTCACACATAAACTCTCCCTTCAAAATTTTTTCACAGTTTTTAAAAATTTAATATTATTAATATTATTGTAGTTAAACAACATTTTTGATTATTTGTTTACAAGTTATAACACTAATAATTTACTGATAATTCTAATTATTTTTTTTCAGATGGCGGGACAGTAAAAAGAAGTAAAGTAGATGGCGACACTTTATTCTTAAATTTTCACAAACTTTAAAATTGAATTTTATTTAGAGTTTTGTTTTGTAAAATTTGTAAGAACTTGATTTTATTGAATTATGTATGTCATAATTTTTTTTCCATTTAATATTTGTATATTATTATTTTTTATTGTCATTTAATTTTTTGTGAAATTAATAATTAATGCGGATAAATAAATCTTTCGTTTTCCCAAAGTTTAGTTGATAAACTAATCTTCTGCAATAGAAATTGAAAAACTTTTTTATGTTTAAAATTTTGTGAATCACGGATCAATGATAGATGGAACAAAATTTGCTAAAGACATATAAATATACGATGGTCCAGTTATGGAAGCTGTGAAACCACTATAATATTTATATCGTTGGAAGATTATATATATTCTGGTATACAACTTTTAGTTGACCGTGTGATGCATGCGTTCATGCGAAGCGCGGAAGAATGACTCGAATCGTCTCGGTCTCGTCATTCACGTTCTGTGATCAACCCTTGAGCGCGTGTCTTCTTCTCCCACCAAAAATTTTGCACACACGCAAACTCCCACCCCCTTCATGATATCGAACGTCTCATATCACTGTAAGAAATACTTAAAAAAAATTTTTCTTCTTATTTTTTACTAATTTATTTTTCTTCATTTCAACTATATTTTTTGTATATTCCAAAAAATTTTATTTATTTTTTAAAGCAATCTAACAATTGTGATGATAATAATATTATTGTAATTATTTAAAAATTTATGTTTTAAAATAAGGAAACATTTGAAATTTTACGTTCGAAAGAATAAAGTTCTGATAAAAAAGTAAGATATTAATAATTTCAATTAATTTACATATTACTTTTACTTGAAAATTTTTTTTTATTATCTCCTGTTTCTTATTTATTTTTATTTCTTTAATCGACATGATTATTCTTTATACGGTCATATTATTTATTATATTTTCCTTATTGAAATATGTATTATTTCCCATTTTTTATTAACACAAACACAGATGTGCCAATGATAAGATTCGTTTTACATTTTACTGAAAAAAATTTTAATCGCGCTTATTGAAAATTGTTTAGCAAATCTACATTTAAATATTTATAATTATATATCTATGGTTCTAAATAATTATACATATATGCATTTCAAAGTAGATCATTGATTTATTTCAAAGAGAAAACAGATTTTTATTGATTGTTTTATTTTTAAATATCGCAAATAAACGTCATTTTTATACAAAAGCTCCCCTTGTAAATAATTAATTTGTCAAACGATTCATTTTAAACAATGATATGTAATTTTATTTTGGTGTCTGTTTAAATCGTTTTCAATTATTTATAAACAATAGGTAAATCAAACAAAACATCAATATTTAACCTATTCGTTCAAAGTAAAATGATTCGTGAATAATATAAAGGACTCAAATTTGACAGTATTATAGTTGACTTTTTTTTATTTAATTTATTTACTATTAATTTTATTTAATAAAATTACGATTATAATTTTATTTTTAGAAATAAATTTTAAAAAGTTAATATTTTTATTAAAAAGAATAAATGTAAATAAAATATTATTTTTTATATTTTTCAAGTTATGATCCATAGTGTAACTCGTCGAACACTCGTCGAAGAGTGTCAGTTTTGCTGCCGCTGCCGAACGTCTCATATTTATACCTACGGCGCAATGGGAGGGGGTATTGGGTCTCTCTAGCAGGGGAAACCCAGATTGCGCGGATGGATTATGGTGGGGGTACAGGAGCCTTTCATTACCGTCCGTGCCTTTGATCTAGTCGACTCTTTTTCTATTTTACAACTTTGGAGATTTGAAAATATACATATATACGTTTTTTATTTTTTTTATAGGATTAGATTTCATCTGTAAAAATGGGTGCCTTACAAATATAAAAATTCATTGTAATATTTTATGCACAAAGAAAATTGACGACAATAAATATTTCTTTTAATCTTAACGTTTTACGATTTTGGGATTCGTTACATTCTTTAATCAATATGTATAGAATAATAATTAATGTTTTTTTTTAAATGACATTTTAATTTTGATTTTTAGGATAGTTTACTTGTTTCATTCTATATACATACTAATTTTTCATTTACTGCAATAAAAAAAGGAAACATTTTATATTATACTTTTTTCTTAATAATTAATTAATTAAATTGTGTATAGTTTTGATTTCTTTATACAATATTAATAATTATTTTTCGATATTGCTAAATTTTTCTATTGATTCAAAGTTTATTTAATTTCCATATTTACTGTCAATTTCGAGATACTCGATACAAAGCAAAAAAAAATATATTTTTTTTTAACTAAAGCTGCATCCTCTTGTACTGGTTATTACACATTTTTCTCTTATTTAGTGTTTGATTTATTTTGCATTGTGAAGTTATTAAAAATTCTTCATATATGCCAGTATGTATTTTAAAATATTTATAAAAGGATTATTACAAATTGAGAGCATATTTTATTGTAATTTTCAAATTTCGCCTTTATTATCTTCTACATTAATTAAAAATTTTTTAAATTTAATATTAAAATAAAAAAAAATTTCTTGAGAGATGTGACATTTATTTTTCATTTGAGTAAATCATATAAAAATACGTTATTATAGTATTTTTATTATTTTTTGTTTAATTATTTTTTTTTGATATACAGGTAATTTGATAAATAAAATTCTATTTTTCTGAAAAGCTTTTCAACTTTTTTTCTTCGGGTTGTGATTCTCTTTTGTTCAGAAATTCTCATTTTGTGTCTCATATTCTCTCATATTCTCGCCTTTTTCCTATTAAAAGTTATGTCTTTCTTTACGGTTCGATCAATTTTCTACACGAGATATGTTCGCTTTTGTGAAAAGATTTTTCGATGAATAAGTTGGAAAAAAACAACCCGATAGATTGTCTTAAGCTGCGGTTAACTTTTAGACTCTCATCAGTTGATATAAAGTTAAGTTTTTTTTCCTCTCATATATGATGTGTGCTCATACTATCAATAAGATTCAATTTTTTCAAAAATAATTCTTTCAATTATATTTTTTTTAAATAAAGTCAATTTTTTTTAAATTTACACAAATTAATAACAAAAAAAATCGTTATAATGTCTAGTAATTAAATATTATTTATCATTTTTATAATTTATAAAATATAAATAATAATTATTACTAATAATATTAATATAATAACGATAATAATAAGTTTTTTTGTTAACAACAAAAATAATAATTTTTATAATCAGAATTAAAATCATATTGAAACTAAAATCCATTTGCCAGTAGTCGTCCGCTTTTTTTAATTACGCCGTTTTAAATGAAAAGAATACAAATTCATATAATAACATATAAAATGAATAAAACTTTTCAATTGAAACTTGAAGCCATTTATGGAAACATTGAAAAAGAATTTCAATAATAAACGATTATACATATGTATTTACTTCGCTGTTTTACTTTTTAATATTTAAATTAGAATATTGTTAAAAATTTATCATTTTTTTGCAATTTAGTCTTGTAATTTAACTTCAAATATTATATTAAATTAAATGATTAATTTTTACATATTATTTTATTTTATTTTTGCAAATTTTATATAATATTAATTAATTAAAATACATCAAATTTCGTTTCAATTTTTTTTTCTTCAAATATTGTCCTCGCAAGATCCCTATTTTCCCATATTTAATTGAATTTCTCCTTTTCTCTTACTATATATATGAATAAAAATGTAAATAACTTTCCCATATTTTTTTTATTTACGACAAAAAAACACGTTTCTAATCATTTGAAGCCCACAACATGAAAAGTTCCAATTTTCAGGTACAACGAAAAGAATGTGTTTTATAAGTCAACACCTGTTGGGTTATATAAAAAATTATTTTAAAGTATAATTCACAAAAAAATATGATTACATAATTTTTTTTATTAATGATATAATAATAATAATAATAATAATAATAATAATGGTAATAGTAATTCTTGTTATTATCAATTAATTAATTTCTTAATAAAAACAATTAACGATTTTTATTTATATATAGATATATGTCTTTGTAAATAAAACCCTTGGCGTTTTCCCATCGGGTGTGAATACTTTATTAATGACAAGAGTGAAACCGTGTGAAGAACAAAGAACAAAAGTCAAAGATTTTTCTTTCGTAATTTCCTCATGTCCTCATCTTATGACACCTAGTGTTAAAACCATAAAGCGTCCTTTTATATATTCATTTTATTAATAAATAAATAAAAAAAAAGAAAACATTAATTTTTAATATCTACACATTTCTACACTGTTGCAAATGAAAGTCAATAAACGATTTTCTATTTTTCTATTAGAATTTACAATTATTATTTTACAAAAATTAATGTCTCTTATAAAACAAATATTGAGCAATATTTTTTTACTGGATTTTCGACTTCTCCTTTGTATATCTCATCAAATCTCGAGGTATTTGTAGTATCTTTCATTTTTTTTTTTGCAATAATGGTTCATTAATAATTATTCGACGAGATTACCTGAAAATAAGAAAATAATTATCAATTAATTAGAAATAGAAAAAAGAAGAATGTGAAATTAGTTGTTGTACTTTTGATATTAAAGGAGGCAAATATTGTTCATCTTTACAGAAGTTTTTGCAGAATTCATTTAAGTGAAGACGGTGATAATGAAGATAATGTTAATGAAGTACAAGAAACAGTAAATAGATTAAATGCTCTTGGTAAAGAGATAAGACACGATAATTTGGTTACAATGTTAGAAGGAATACATGAAGGGTTATTATTGTTCTCGCAAAAAGCGTAAAAACATTTTCTATCCCTTTTTATCTTATAACGGTTTTATTCCTATATTATCCTATCAGTTCCAACACTTTCATTTTCATAATAATAAAGAATTCAAACATTATTAATCTATTTCATTATGAAATTATAAAATAAAGTTAAATATATATATTGTAAAAAAATTATTACCTGAAAATGATTCGTGATACCTTGATAAGGATAAATCCCACCGAGAATGTAACGATAATATCCATTGTGTCTAATTCGATATTCTCCGGGCTCAACATTTTCTGGCACAGTCCAGATAATTGTTACCGTACTGGAACCAAGCATTATCGATTTCCTTGACCAAATAAATCTGTATGAGGTTAAAAATTACCTTATTAATAAATTATCTAAAATTAAATTAATTTTTTTAATATTATCGTACTTGGTGTCCCAATTAGCGTCTGTTGACACTGGATTCCACATTTCGTCATCTTCTAATTTTTCAACGGTCAAAAATGATTTCTCAGTCATCAGATTGTTCCTAGGATGACCAGAAATCTATAAAAAGAAATATTTTATTAAATTTTTTTTGTTTAATTGACTCCATAAAATTCAACATTTTTTCAAAATGCTAATTATAATTAAAAATTATAATACTCTGTAAAACTTTTTAATTATACATTATAAGTTTCATTTATGATGAAATGCCAATAATGCCAATATTTTAAATTTAAAAATAAAATAATTAAAATAAAATTCCATTTTCACTAAATTTAAATGTATATTGAAAAATTTTCATAATTTTGTTACTATTTAATTTTCTTTTTAAACGAACATTAAAAATTTCGACAATCAATATACCAATAATAATATTTAATTGAAATACTTTTTGCATTACGATAAATAACTTTTAATTAAATGTGAAAATATTTAATTAAAAAGCTTTTGTATTACAATGGGTAACTCTGATAAAATCAGCATTTTTAAATTTAAACTTGGTATCATCCTTTTCTCATTAAAAAACATTTTAATAGAATAGTTACAAATGTAATAATTAATTTAATATTATAAATAATTATATTAACAATGAAAAGTTTAAAAATCTAGTTATAAAATGAATTGAAAAATTAATTAATATTAAATTATAAATTTTCAAAAAAGACGATTTGATTATTTGTCGATCAATGAATATGCTTTAAAAATGGAACATTTTTATTCAAAATGAGATTGCTTGAATTTACGTAATAGTGAATAACTACATGAAACTGATTTGAATCCGATTATATTGATGTTTACGTAAAATTCTTACACAATCTATTTGTAAGCATCTCATAGATCACAATCAAATGGATCCTTATTTTCGTCCTTTTTTTTTATTAATATCAAGATGTATTTCTAAATTTAACAAAATTTATAAATTAAAAGAAAAATAAAGATTTCTTAGAAATATATTAATAAATAATAATGATTAGTAAATAATACTTCGTGTTTAATGTAATTTTTATTTTTTAAAAATTGTAGGTATAGCAAAAAAAAAGAAGTCTTTTAACAATATCAATATCTAAATTACCTACTGTTGGTAAAGTAGAATTCATCTTTTGCAACATAAAGAATTATGTTTTAGAAATGTATTCATTACAATTGTTCTCTTATTTGTCTTAATAAATTATTTTTAAAAAAAATTATTTTCTTAAATATTACAATACTTACGAATGAAACGGTTACTACATCGCCTGGTCTCGCAAATTTCGATGGCTGTTGAATACAATCGCCAAATTCTTTACCCCATTCAGGAGTATCGTACAAAACTGGTGGCACTAAACTTATTAGACCAATTTTTCTCAAGTCTTCTGGCATTGGCCCTGGATCTAATGAACTTCCCTAATGTAAAAATACAGATTTCAGTTCAAAATTAAAAAAAAACAAAAAAGTAGATGAATAAATTTTATTTACCCTAAGAGCAGCCTCTGTCAATTCTTTGTATTGTTGTAAATAAATTGTTAATGTGTGTGGTCCAAAAATCGTTGATGCACCCTCATATCTCTGGATCTAATTGTAGAACGTAAAAAAAAATTATTGAGAATATAATAATAAATTATTTATTTATTGAAAATAAAAAAAAATATCCCAATGCAGGATTTAAAATCTCACTTGATACTCTTCTGGTGTTGTTATATAATCAGTGTATGTATTGCAGAGGCCAGCAATAACGACAATCGGATTTTCTTCCTCGCCGCTTTCTTCAATTGTCTTTTTGACAACATTACGTAATCGTCTCCCTGACATTGTCGTGAATTCACCAGGTACACCGGCAATGGCAATATTTCCAATCATTGCCAAATGAGTAGATACAACTTTTGGTTGCCATTGATAAGGTAAAATCATCTGCGAAAACAAAAAAAAATGGCGAAACTATTTAATACCACAAAAGTATCATTAAATATATACCAATATATTAATTGCTTTATTTATTTCATAATAATTATAAAAAAAAACTTAATATTTAATAGTTGAAAATCGAACAAAAATTTTTAATTTGACAATAGCCGCAGTCGTTAAGCGGAAGGGTTAGGTCAAATCATTTGTTTGAGGTTCAATTCCTCTGGGGTTGAATTTTTTTTATTATTATTTTAGTGTAATTCATTTACCCTTCCGGTGGCCAATAAAATAGGTTTCATTCCATGGCAACGAATATCGTCATCCGTTGGAGCGGCTATAAAATTTCGAACCATATTCCAAAATGGATTTGGCGTAATGGTGCCTTGTTCAAAGGCAAAAGATCCTGGACCGTCGGTTGTACCAGCAGCAAAACTATAGCCCATTGCCGGATAACAGCCTTTAATCTATTAAACATAATAAGAATAATTAAGCACCTAATTAACGATTTAATAAAATGCAACGCTTATTATTTTAATCCAATTTTGCATATTTTAATACCAAAATGGATTAAAATAAGCAAAATTGGATTAAAATAATAAGCGTTGCAGCTTATTTTAATGCCTTTTAATTTTCTGTGCACCTGCTGGTTTATTAAAACAGATCTAAGGACCAAAAAAATTGTTTGTCATTTTTTTTTTGCTATTATAATAGAAAAAAGTCGTCGAATTACGAATTCGATGTTAGTTTTTCAAAATTCAAAATGGCGGATTTAAAAAGAAATTGATAGAATTCGCTTGAAAAAATTTGACATCAGATTTCAAAAATTCAAAATGGCGGATCCAGTATGACGGAAAATTGTTATAAAATTGATTAAATTCACTTAAAATTTTTTACTTGGAATTTTTTGGAGTCACTGATTACGAATTCAATATCAGATTCGTTATCAGAAATTCTTAAATATGATTTAGAGAATTTTAATCAAATCTAATGAATTTAAAAAAAGTTCGCAATTTTGAATTTTGCAAAACTGATATCAGATTTAAAATAAATGTTTATATATAGAATTTATTCATATGAAATATACAGGAGAAAAAATGAAGGTCTTTGAGTCTTTTTCTCTCTTGAATAAATTGGACTCAATTTAAATAGTACATTATTGTAATTCGTTGTATTCGTATATATCTAGAATAAAACAACAATTCCCCGGAATTTTTAGAAAGTTTTAAGAAAAATGACACACTAGTAACGATTCACGTACCTCTTCGACCTCGTTGGAGGTCTCGTTATAAAAATTGGCCTTCTGCTTTGTCATGTCGACAAATCGGTGGACAATACGAATTGGTCCTTTCACCTCAGTTTTATTTCCATTTTTCCACAAATCCTGTAATCACAATAGCAAAATTACATTTCTATTTTAATCTCATTTCATTTTTATTACATATTAATTTTATGATATTTTCAATTAGTTTAACAAAAAAAATGTGCGCTTTTTCAATGTTTTTATTTTAAAGTTAATTGACAATGTTATCTCTAGTTGTTGTTTAACTTTTTTACAAATTGAAAAAATATATTTCATGTATGTATATCTAAAAAATTTGAATAAAAAAAAAATTAGAGCTTTATAAAAAAATGTGAATACATTGTGAAATTGTAATACATATAGGCGATATGCCATCGTTAGTGGATTTTAAAATAAATGAAAGGAAGATTATATTTCAAAAATTTGTATTAAACAATTCGTAAAATATTTTACTAATTGGACCAGAGAATTTAAAAATGTATTTCCAAATAAAATCAAATATTAGATTTATATATTTAATTTACTTTATTGTTTAACAGTAATATAAATCTAATCTAATATATAAAATAATATTTCATTTTTTAATTTATATGAAAATAATTTTTTCCATTCCCCTGAAGCTAACTAACTCTACTTAAATATCATTGAATTGTTAGCCCTAATACTTGAGGTTATGTTCACCTATCTTAAACTTTAACTTAAATTTTGAGGTTATGTTCAGTCTATAATCATTACTATAGTGTATTATATATATTACTATAATATATTAAGGAGGAGCTCTGATTCGCAATGAGTCGCTCTATGCGATATACATAAAAGTGAAGTCATATATACTTGGGAGCGGACATCTTTATAGGTTCACACGAGATGCAGGCGGCAATATATATGTATAGTATGCATCTGTGAGCCTTCTTTCGAATTGACATTGAATCCCTTGTCATTGGTAATTGGTTGACACATAGATCGAAGTATTTGATTCGCTTCAAGGTAACCAAATCGAGAAACTTTTGCCTCGATCGACATTTAACGTTTTCTTTGAGTTAACAACAATCGCACCGAATCTTCAATATGAAAGATAGAGAAAGAGAGAGAGAGAGAGAATAGTGGCTCCCAGTGTAATACTTTCTTGAGGGTGCAGCTATTTGTTTATTTCAACATTACACTCTATAATTGACGGAAAAATTATTCCTACCATTGTTTGTTTCTATTATTTTTATTATTGCTCTTAGTATTATTTTTTATTATACATAATTCTATTTCAGTTTTTTTATTTTTAATAAATGTAATATTATTTATAGATGATAAATATTTTCTAATAGAATATAAAGTTAAATTTTTCAGCTTTTTTGGCGAGTTAACTGATGCGATAAAATAAAGGTAATATCGAAGATTATAAATGTTGTATAGTATCAATGGAATAGTGATGCAATAGAGTAACAGTGACCCAAAAGAGATAAATGTAATAGTACAGGCGAAACAAGAGACTCTTAAAATTCAAGGCTTTGTAAAATATATATAATTAATCTACTGTTGAACTAATTAAATATATATTTAAATATTCCTTGATCTCTAATTACAATGTTCTTGAAATTTATTAGGAAAAACACATATACTTTTTTAATTATATACTTTCATTAATATTCCTCTCTATTCTACCACGAAAAATAATGAAATCTACTTTATCGACGCAACAGAGATTAGAAACTCAAAATGCAAAAATTAATTAATTAGATTAGTTATTGTTATTATTATTATTTTTCTTTTCCACTTTGGCTTCTATTTGCACTTCAATGACACGTCTCTCTTGGATACTCCTGATTTACCTTGAATGAACTTATATTATTTCATTCATATTTTTCATTTCATGACCGCATCTCACCTGAGCGGAATTAATTGTTTATTACCGTCATTTCCTCACCTCTATATATAATATATAAATAAAAAATTTAATTACACTTCATAACGCAGAGAAAATTCTTTTGAGATTCATCACACTCACAGATATATGTATATATATAAAAGAAATCTCATATAAAAAATGTCACCTTAACCGAATAATAATAATAAGCATAAAAAATAAAGTGTCCCCGACTCACCTCTAAACCTATATATGAAAACTTATTTTCAAATTTATAAACGAAAGATAATTGCGCTGATTAGAAACTATTAAGTAGATTGGTACAAACTAAGCAAATCGTGAGGCAAGTTTTTATTTTATGTAAAAATCGATTTGAGTAACATTTGAGTAACATTTTTGTGACCGCAAAATACATATGTATATTATATAGCCTTAAGGTAGGCGTGGGAAACTATACCTCTCGATAGACTGTTATATTTTTTCTCTTCTTCTTATTCTTTTTACAATTAATCTAAATTCCTTCTCTAGTTGGTATAAGTTAATCAACGCGTCCCTGTAATCAATGTCGTAATTTAAATGAAGACAGTTTTACGAACTATATTATTGTAAACATCCGCTTAAATTACAAAAATTATTCATTGATTAATTGAATTTTTTAAAAATAATATATTTATTTATTCAACAGTTTGTAATTTACTTCTACATGCACAAGTTTATGTACAAAAAGAGTTTTTTAAAAATAATAAATGATAAAAAATTATTATTTTTTCGTATTAGATGATGAATAGTGTATTCTAACTCATTTTCGTTGAGGAACAAAAACATGAGTTTCTTATTCAAGAGCATAAATTATGTAGGACATTGTTAAAGTTTTCTTTCATCCCTTATTATTTTTGAAAGTAAAGCTTCAGGGGCTTAGAATCACATTAATTTTACAGTATTTCCTCTTTCTGAAGAGAAATATTATTATTATTATTATTTTTATTATTATATTATAAAACCCTATCACTACTGCATCTTTCAAAAATAAAAATAAAATAAAAAACATTTTATTTCATTGCACTTTTAATATTTGTCTTTCGAAGAACGTAATTTCTTTTTTATAATAAGCAGCAATAAATTAAAAAAATTTAAGTAAATGAATATTTTCTTTTTATTTGAAGTAAAATATTTTTTTCTCAGAATTTTTAGAATTCATCGGAAACGCCATTTAGAACTACTTTATCGACACAAAATAAATGGAAAACTCGAATAAAAAGAATTAGAGCTAAATTGAAATTATCTTTTTTCTCTTCTTGCCTGGCAAGAATTATATGTATACAAATAAAAAAATATTGAATGCAAATTATTTTTTCCACGTGTATTTTACCATAAATGGCTATAAATATATTACAATAATATAATAATTTATGCATATATCTCTGACATAACTGGTTTTCACGATTGCTCATTTTTTTTCGCAGGTCACTATATAACATGTTGTTAAATAAATCAATAAGAATCGAGAAAGGGAGATCCTTACGTGTAATCGAGGGGTCTCCTAAGTCACGATTCTACAATGCGAAAGCATTTTCATGTAAAGAAATATATAAGTCACATTTTCTATATACACGGATCTAACTAAAAGCTATATACTTTAAGATGAGTTTCATCAGACGATTTTGCATTAAGCAAATCGTATCATTAATTACCTCTCGTCGAGAATTCAAGTCATTTTCTTTTATCCTCTCAACACACATACACACGCAATAGTCTGCGAACATTTCGAGTGTGAAGAAATTGGATGAGACCTAATTTCAATTGAGGATGGTAATTAACGTACACTTATATATTTATAATTCAGTCGGGAAACTTAAATATCTCACATTACGCAACATTGGAAAAATATAAAGAAAATGTTTCTATTTATTATATTCTTATAGTACGCGGGGGAAAATGAAGAATAATTTTCCTTATAATTTTCGCATTTCGTGTCAAACGAGAGAGGTTTTGAATTGAAGTTAATTAAAGGCGCGGAACCAGGAAATCATAGAAATGTATAACACTCTCAGAGGGATTTTAATTGCACTACTGCGAGAAAACAAGAAATGTCAACAAAGCATTTTTATAAAGTGGAAATAAAATTACTTAATGTTCTAACTTAGATTTTAGTATTATTCAAATTATTAATATTAATAACTCAGAAGAAAAGACAATTATCGCGGTGGAATTATAGAACCATTGCGGACTGCCTAGCAAAATGATTTTTATACAAAATACTAAAACAATCTAAATGTTGAAAAGCGTTTTGCGTTTGAATTTATATATTTCAGTATTTGCAATAAATGTTATTATTATTGACGAAGCATGCGAAAATTGATTTTCCTCGATGTGACCCCTTATATATATATATATATATTTGCGATTAAAGTTGTTGCCGCGGATTGTGTATGAACGTGCTCGACGCTAATCTGCGATCATTCGCTTCTGCGCCATTACTCGGTCACGAGCTCGAACCTTTCCCGTCATTACAATCGCGGTGGAGATGCGAAAGGATGAATATGGTCCAGAATGCCGCTAATCGGCATCCAGGGAAAGGGAGCCAAAGTTCGTTATGTTTGCTCGAGTTTTCTCTCTCTTTCTCTCGCAACACTTTAACTTTCGTAATGGTCGCACACACTCATTCGACTTCAGAAGCTCCAAAAACACGTCTCTCCTGAGAAAGAATTTCACGACTCTTATAAAAAAAAAAATCCCATAGGTCATGAGGGTATTTTTTTGGTGGGGGGGCATTCAAATAAAATTTTTCTTGTACTCGATGAGATAAGTTTACGTTTTGTACGTATAATATGTAATATAAAATAGAGATGAAAAAAGTAGAGCACTAATCAAAAAGAAAAAGTTTTTTTTTCTCCTTTTTACTATTTCACAATATTCTATTTTTTTTAATGCGAAAAAAATCTTGATAGTGAGCGGTGACCTTAAAGAAGTATATATATCGAAAAGTTTTGAAAAGAAAAAAATCTCCGGACATTGCAAAATTTGGTATACGGACAGAGACTTGATGACATGAGTGTTAATGTATTCAGCAGTTGAAATATAAGATAGAGATCGAACAACGACTATATATATATATGCTGCCTACTTTTTGCCAAACAAAGGAAATCCCACGCTTTGCCTCGTCCGCTACTATATGATACTTTGTTTCCAAATCTTTCGCAGTGGTGTTTTTTTTACTTTGTCTGATATTCTATGTACAATATATAGTGACTGGACATTTGTAGTTTATTTTACTATATATAGATTTCAGGAAAACGTTTTTATTCTTTTCCTTTATATAAATAGTTTATAGACTAAGTTTAATAGACATGCGCTGCAAAGAGAGTAAAAATGCGCATGCGTCCCTGCTTTTGCCTCATTTGTCGAAATATCCCGGCGCACATTTAAAATAAAATAATTAGAAAAATATTCTTCTTTTTTAATTTAAATAATCTGAATTTTGATTTTTTTAGAAAATTATTTTCATTGTTAAAAAAATTTTTTTCTGTATTATATTAAAGTTTGTTTTCTGATTAACATTTTTTTAAAGTGAAATTTTTAATTTCCGGTTCTTTTCCCGTGTTTCTTGTCACTTTTCTCTCTTTCTCGATCTACTTCAGTTTTTATTCGTGTTTCCCTATTGTCGGGGCTTATGTCAATCGGCGCGGGTACATACACACATGCACGAATTATGCAATGTATTGTTTACGAGTGCCATTTCAATACAATCACGTGAACGTCGGCCGTCGTGCTACGTGTGCCTCACGGTTCATTCCCGTAACATGTTTGAAAGATTGTATATATATGGGGGAGAAATGTCTCAACGTATCCTTGGCACGTACAGATTATATGCACACCTATATTGCGGATATGTCTTATATATATATATATATATATATAAGTGAAGATGCGACTGTACGCTCCCTATAACTCCATCGTAGCATATATGGGAGTGTTTTTATTTTATTTTATATTCCTCCCATGAAAGGGAAACGAAAACCTTTGCAAATAATAGAAATATATATCTATATAATAAAAAAAGTATTTCCTCAAAATGATAAAATATTAGAAATTTTAATTGTGTATTTAAGTTCCGTTATTGAAAATTTATCATTTTTTTAAATTTAGAAAAATGAGAAAAAATTAATAATAAATCTTTCTATAATTTTTTTTTAAATTAAAATATATATATATATATATATATATTAAATGCGGTAAAATTTTCTGCAAATTCAGAATGAACCTTTTCACATACTGCACTGAAGGGATAAAAGTAAAAAATATTATCTATGTAACATCAAAGTAAAAGTTTTCCTTTAAATTATATCATTTTTAATATAAAATTTAAAAAAATAATTTTAAAGGAATAAGTATTTTACTTTGAAGATTTAACTCGTTTTAACTTGTTTTTTATTCTTTCTTTTAAATTTTGTTTGTTCCTTTCTCTCATTACTTTTCTTTTTCAATTTTTTTTCCCCATTTCATTATTTGTTTCTTCATTCTTTTCAAATTGTTATTATTCCAAATAGTTTGATGCATGTGGAAAAAATATTATTTTTTAAAACAATTCTTTCCTTTTCATTAATATCAAAAATTAATATTCAGAGAATATAAATAAATAAATAGAAAATAATAATAATTGTTAAAAATGAATAGGAAAAAAATCTTTTTTCTACATTTTTTTCTCATTTTCACTTTATATTATATGACAAATAAAAAAACTGTGAAAATCACGAGAAATTATCTGTGAAAACTCAAAGTCAAATTAATGTCACGTCACGACCTGAACATGTAAGCAGACAAAGTATTATATACATATATATATATTCCTATACATATGTATATATATAAAGCCTTTGTGAAGCTGATGACATTTCCTTATGGAACTATTATGACCGCATATTAAATAATCGAAAGACGTATAAAGAAATGATTACAAAATGTGAAATTGTGCTTTACATTTATGAGAGAAAATAGCGTAAAAAAGTTTTAATATATTATTATTAATTAAATAAATAGCGAGGATTTTTTTGGTAAATAAATTTTATTATAACAGAAAAAAATCATGACTTAAAAGTGAAGAAAGAATAGCCTGGTGGCGACATATTAAATAAATTTACTTCATGGATATTAGGCAGTCATTTGAATATATTGTAAATTTCTCTATATGTATATACGAAAGACATAAGTCATATAATGTATTTAAAACTTTGATATGAGACCCACGCAACATGAATGGCAAAGTAAATTAGTATTTTGAACCGAGTATCAAAATAAGTTTGCATATATATATTCATACTATAGATGCTGAACCAAACTTTATAACGATGCGCCAATAATAATTATCTCAGTAATTGCACTTATGGGGGTTTCATTTAGTAAATGCAACCAATTATTAATGATTCCATGGTTTATTATAATTATATTATTGCGCCAATTAAAGGCACATAGTTATACTTGCATTACTAAATAATAAAAATGTATGTACATTTGCAATCTTATTTTCTTTTATTGTAAAAAATATTCATCGAATTTTTTTAATAATACTAAAGAAACGAACTTCTTACTTTTTTTAATTTGTTAATTATATATTTCATAAATAAAGTTTTTTCTTCCCAAAACTCCAAGATAAACTTTTCTTTATGTTTTGATAAAATTATAAAATTATTAAAATATAATTTCTACTTTCTAATATGTTTATTATAAATATTCTACATAAGTCATTTTTTTATAGTAAAAGGTGTGAGTAATTATCTTAATTTGTCAAAAGCAAAAAAAGAAAACCATACGTAAAATATGAAATTATTCAATTTTTTTTCTCTTCAAAATAAAGTGTAATTATTTTTTTTATCAAGTATATAATTAAGAAGAGGAAATAATTTTTTTTTGTCTCCATCGTATTCATATGATTGTCATTATATATTTGGTGAAAAAAAACGAAAGCAAATTGATGTGATAAAATTTTTTTTTCATGGTAAAGACGAATTTTTCAATTGTATATAGTTATGGGGAACTGTGTTTTGTAAGATTCGAATAGGTAAGTATCCAAACTTGGTGGGAGATGAATATAAGCCCATAACCTGGGGATGATGCTATCAGTATCTTCGTACTTTCTCGTATAGTTACATATACATAGCATATCACATTACTCGCGAAAAAAAATAAACAACATGCTAAAGGTATATATAAATGTATAAAATACACAATATAGTACATTGATGTTTGGTGATTAATTTTTATTATATATATTCATATATAACATTCATGTGCTCTAGAAAAGAAAAAGTGTTTTTTTTTATTTTTCCATATTTTTTATTTTCTTTTTTTTCGAAAAAACTTTGCTCTAATGGATTTCTAATTTGAGTGAATCATCTTCCCGTCATAACTCAGTGATTTATTATAACCCCTCTGTATATATGGCGGGCAATACTTCCTTGCAAAACATTCCACAGTCAAAGTTTAAAAGTTATTGGATTGTTATGAAACTTTGATAAAATGTTGCCCTATTATGTATATTTACAAATCATATTGGCTTATTTAAAAAAAAATTTTTTTTGAAAATACTTGTGGGTTAAAATTGATAAAAAAATTAATTTTTAAAAAATGTGTCTACTAATTTCAACAATTTTTTTAAAATTAGCTAATATTTTATTCGGGGGAGATTACTTGCAAAAAAAATTCCATCAATTTTCAATGTCAGAAAAAAATTTGAACGTGACTTAAAATTTTGGACTTATTGTAAACTGTAAATAATTTTTAATGTGCAAAAAATAAATAGTGTGATTACTATATAATTTTAAATGTGACAATCAATAAAATTTGAAAGTGCGACCAACAATTTTTGGAATGAGAAATAATCAATTTTGTTTCCATAGTTATTTTTATTTTTCTCCGTGTTTTAATAAATAAATGAATAATAAAGTAGTTGAAAGTTGAAGTTGAAAGTACATTAAAATTATTTAATTTTTCAAAAACAATACGATAAAAATATTTTAAATAATAAATAATGTTTAATATTAAGGGTGAAATTCCGAAATTAATTTAATTAATAATAATTACATAATTTAAAAATACAGTCAAATGTTTTTTATTTTAAATAATAATCAATATATGATAATTGTGAAAATAAGAATAATAGTAGAATATATATAAAAAAAATGAATAGTTGCATGTTTTGTAAGAAATAGTAACGTGTGATAGTGAAATTAATTAATTGTCTGTGATGTCATTCGGTATATATAAAGTTATCGAACTCGAGGAACAATAATTGTTTGAGAAAGCGGAAGACTATCTATCGTCAAGACAACAGTCTAATTGTGTTTTCAATTCTTTGCATTTACACATTTATTCCCATCATTGACAAAAAAATATACATACCTATTATATTATGTTTTAAAATTTTCATTAAGTGTTATTGGGGTAAAAAAATATTATTATAATAATTTTTTTATTATTGTTTATATTTTTAATAAATAAAAAATAACTTAATTAAATTTTATGTAAAAAGAATAATAAAATAAAAGTCATACTCAAAGAAAATGCATTTTAAAAATGCTATCAACAGATAATAAAATTGCAGAAAACAGTAGTAAAGCTATATCTTAAGTCAGACAATCTTATTAAATAAGATATATATGTAATCGGCGCAAGACTGCGTTTATATTGTACCGAGTCCAGTTTCGAGTCGATTAAAAAAATCGTTACACAATATAATAGGGAACAAAATTAAATATATATAATTATTATTATGTTTTTACACGGTGAGCAAATAAAAAAAAAATGTTTTACAGATCCTTAGCCTGCTTGGCGCCTTAATAGTGTGGTGCAATGGTCTCGTTATCAGTGGTTATAATGGTGGACACGGTGGTGTATTTGATTACGCGGGTCTTGAAGAATATGAGGGGCACGCAGTCCTGCCAACGGTAGCAGTACCAATACATTCAGTATCAGCGTCACCTTTACATATTACCGCTCAAGATTTACATACCAGTCTTCATTATCCTCATCATCATCATCATCCACTCCCTCATCATCATGAACATCACGAACCTGATCATGATTATTATGTAAGCAAAATTTTTATATATACTAATTTGTCAATTAAATCAAACATGTTAATTATTATGTGATTTTCAATTTTACATTTAAAAAAAAGATAATTCAATTGAATGTAAAATATTCCAATTCAATGCAAAGCTAAATAATTGTTAAACTCATCTAATTGATATTTGAATGAAAATTAATTAAGTACGTATGCTGAACTATTGATTAATTATCAGCAATTACTATTTTATTGTCACAGTAATTATTCTTGTTTTAACTTAATTTGCTCCCCCTAATACCTGCTTTGATATTTATATATCAATTAATATTTTATCTCTTTATTAATTTTTACTTTTCTTCTTTAATTTTTTAATTTTCTCTTTCCTTTTATATTTATTTTCATCACTTCTTTTTGTTTTTAATCTTAAAATCCAATTTTGATAAAGTAGTAAAATTGTTATAAATTGTTCAAATTTCGCTGAACAGTAGATGAAAAAGTTTGTGGGGGGAATTTTTTTTTGTTTTATCTTATTTATAGAGACTCGTGTGTGACACCGAAGATCCACCTATAGAGATAAAAGAATAATGTAACCACTTAGGCGCGGCTTGAGACATGAATGGTATAGTGTGAACGTTCAAGTAACTTTGCAATAATAGAGCGTCGACGACGACTAACTGACTCTGGCATGACCTATAACATCCTGCGGCTTTACCTTTGTGTATACGTACGTCCTCTCGCCAACAGAAGCTATTATATATATATATATATATATACGTATAGATTTCATTAAAAGCCGTATAACAGGTCCCTCTACTGACATAATATACTCGAATTACTAAATAGCTCAAGTAGGCGTGTACAAGTGGGTAGCGCATTAATTTCTCGTGTCACAATAAAACATCTGCTATCGAGCAAATAACATTTTTATTTTAATCTATTTTTTCGTTAAAATCATTTACATTGATAATATACTTATATATTTTTTGACATTACAAGTATTGTCCCGCGTGTTTGAATTGCAAATAACACTACTGCGCATGTCTAAATAGTTCTGCACATTTTAAGTTTCTTAAAAAACTACTAATATGCATATCCAAATTAATAGATTATATAGTAATTATAAAATATTAATTCATTTATTATAAAAAAATTAGTTTGTTTTATTATACATAATTTTTTCTTTAGTATAAACATGTATTATTGTTACTTATAATTTCGTGGAGTAAAAAAAATAAAAAGACAAGAAATATTCTTTTATGATTCACAATTTTTTTTACTTCTACGAAATACTTTCTGTCCAATTTTTTTCATTTTTGTAAACTTATTATTGTTACTTAATACGTAGGGTAAATTATATAACATAATATATATATGGATCAGAATTAAAAAAAATTTCAGGGTCACATCAAACTTCGATTTTTTTCTATCATATACAGTGAAGCGTGCTTGAAACATTTTAATAACACTATTTTTTAAAATATTTTTTAAAGAAATATAAATCAAATACATAGATATTTATAATTTTTTTGAAAAATTATTTTAATTATTTCGTAAATGTAGCAGTGCTTCTCAACTTCTAATAATGAAAAAGTTTTAATTTTTAACGCAATTAACTAAAATGAATGCAATTTTTCCTTTTTTTCTATTTCAGTCACATCCAAAGTACACTTTCAACTATGGGGTTCATGATCCACACACTGGTGACGTGAAAACTCAACACGAAATTCGTGATGGTGATGTGGTACACGGCTCATACAGTGTAAATGAACCCGATGGAAGTGTCAGAATTGTCGAATACACGGCTGACGATCACAATGGTTTTAATGCAGTAGTGAAAAAAGTTGGACCAGCCGTACATCCGGCGCCAGTTCCGGTTCATAAATACGTGCACGCAGCGCCTGATTATTACGCTTACGAATATGACAAACATCACTATTAATATAAATTTTGCGATAATTTAAAATATATGTACAAAGTTTTTATTTCTTAAATATAAATAATTAATTAATTAATTGAAAATTAATTAATTAGTTAATTAATGTTTAATTAATTAAAATAATTATTTAATATAATCTCACATTTTTCTCGGGATATTTCAATAAAATACTCTCCATTTCCGGGAGATCGGAATTATTGCATTTCTCAAACAGAAATCTTTGGATGTATTGAGAAGTAATTTTTTTAGATTTATTATGTTAATTATTTAAATAAATAATATTGTGTATTATTGAAGAGATGATGTCGAAATAGCGGTTAATAAGGCGGTTTAAAAACGTGATTTTAATTTACAATGTCAAAAGTATTATTTTTTATATTTTTGTACTTAATAAATTAATAATCTAACTACAATTTGTGCTTATTGATGAATTATTTTATTATTTTTTATACGTATTTGTTTTTATTTAAACCAAGCAAATGTTTTACAAATGAAAAAATTAATTTAATTAATTATTTGATTCTTTTAATTAATGAATTCAATATTTTAATAAATTCACTATTTAAAATTATTAACTTTTTTGAAATATAAAATGGACTATTTTAATTAATTGCCTTTTTTATATTTAGTTATTTAACAATTTTTATCAAATAATGTAGTTAATTAATTAAAAATTTTTTTTAATATAAAAGAATATAATATAATTATATCATTTTTTGTACAATTTTCAAAAGAAAATTAATTCATAGTATTTAGTTAAAAAAACATCTTGTACTTTATTATTGTAACTATTATTTACCATTTGTATTTTGTAATATCAATTTGAAAGAATAGTTTTTAAATAAAATAAAAATATTGCAAACACTGTCAAAAGGAATATTTTGAATAAATATAATGAATTTTTTTTTAATGTTAGATAATGTTTTAATTAAATAATTTCAATTGATTTTGTAATCATGTTTAATTATATTTTTTTTACTCGTCTCTCAGATTTCTCATTTCCCAGTTGAGAAAAAACATAGAATCTCTTATTCTTCTTTCTTCATCATTTCTATATTTAAATTTCCTTTATAGGTAATTGTATTTTTTCCAACTATCAAGAAAAAAATAAGTTTCAAATATAGTATCCAAGAAAAAAATTAATGAAAAAAAAATTAACAAGAAAAAGATTAAATAAGCAATGAAATTCATGTTTTATTTTCTCTTCAATTGAAAAAGTGTATACATATAGAAAAACACCCAGTGACATTCAGTATGGGATTTAAATTTCCAAAGCAAAAAGAAAAATAAATTTTATACCTTGTTTTTTCTAGGACGCAGTGTGTATAAAAGAATAAAATATCTGTCATCAGATCTTTTTTTTAATTCTTTCTTTCACGAACTCAACAATTAAAATTTTTTTTTCTTTTAGTTATTTGAATCTCTAATAAAACACCATTGATTACGAATCCAATGTTAGTTATTCGAATATCAAAATGGGGGACTGAAATGACGGTTTTTTTTTATTAATCGAATTTACTTAAAAATTATATTTATCTATATTAACTGAAAATTTGTTGTTTGAATTTATTAAAAAAAATTCTAAATTAAGACCTTCTTTTTGGTTTAGAAATATTAAATATAAGTACAATTTTCACGCCTCATTTTTTTTTCTATCTTAACGCGAGTATAACAATCAAAAGAAATTCAATGTCACTGTGCCATGATCAGTGTAGTGTATCTGGATACTTAATTATTATGCAAATAATATTGACTAGACCACTAAATGATTATTGACTAATAGAGACAACTTAACAATACAAATTCAAGGAAAATTATTGCAAAATAGTTATATTATGTGTCTCGTTGAATTCCATCAGTGAGTACATATTGTCTATACAATACTCTTGATACAAATTACGTCATTATGTGTTTATGAATTGTACGTGTTTAAGGACACACCTGATTATATTATTACTTAGAATCTGGAATGACCTAAATGTACAATCGAACGAAAAATATTCCACCCAATAAGCAATGTATGGTATCTTTATATCTATATATCGACTATGCGAGGAATTTAATTACAAGGGAGTTCATTATCTATCATATAATTTTTACATACCCACGAAAAAAACGATATTATAAATTTAAGATATTATTAACTTCCGTTTAAAGAGTTTAATACATGTATTTTATTCTTACAATTAGAATATAATATTCAATTATGTTTTCACTTGTTTTCAATTTTGCGATTTTTTGAAATTTCCCCCCTAAATTTTCTCCGAGGAATGAAAATCAACCAATCAGGTGCCGCAATGAATCGATATATATCGAACGTTTCTTAGATTATTGTACATAACCTCTAAAATACTCGTATACATATAAATAAATAAATGAATAAAAATTGTTTTCCATTCATTTTTTTTAATAAATGTAATAATAATAAAAAATTTATGACCTCACGAAAAGCTAGAAAAAATATGAATATCACATTTTATTAATCATAAATAGTTAGGAACCTTGCGGGAAAAATGTAAAATAAAGAAATTATTATTATTCATTCTCTTCTATTTATAATTCTTGTCAATAATATTTATTAATTAATTTTTGTTTTAATTTTTTAAAATTATTAATTTTTTTAAAGACAATTAGTATTTTTTTATTATTAATTTAAAAAATATCAAATAATTATTGCATAATAGAATTTTTAATTAGGACCAGTGTTCTAATTAAACCCTCCCAGTTTTAATTTTTTTTTGTTGAAATTTTCTGGCCCATTTAATGCGTAAGAGTGACTTATTTACATTTCTACTTTAATGACCATGTCTGACCGCTTGGTGATGGCTTTTACTATTAATGACGACATTTTTCTCGCTCGTCGAGTAAACTTTATTTTTCTCACGTTCTCACCTAAGATTATATGAAGCTTAACCCTTTATTACGTGTATATATACATATATGTTGGCAATGGGTGTTACAATTATTATTTACGTTACATTTCTTCTTATACGCTTCACTATACTTATTTTCTTCAAATATAAATTAATAAGTTTAATAAATATAACTTTCAAAAAAAAAAGTAGAAATTTTAGGAAATATTCTTTATTAGAAAGTTAACTTTTTAGAATTTTTTTTTATAATTTCTTCTTTTATCAAAAATTTAGACATAAGAGCAAGGGGTGAAATGCCCTTTATGGAAAATGTTCAAATTTTTATTACAAAGTATTTTTAAATTATAATTAAAAAATTATTTTTACTGTTCAAATTTCAGATAGCTATTTCGACAGTATATTGAAAGAAAGTACCATATCATCGGACGTGCGATTACAAACAATAAAAAAATATATAATGCAAATAGAAAGATATAATTTTTTTTGCCTACAAATTTTACAACAGGAAACATAATGTATATATCTCGGGCTTTAATAATAATCGACTTTATAGATTTCACCTTCGACTATATACTCGCATTTATATTATGTGTGAAACAATAGCAAAAAAAATTATATATATATATACAGGTTATTCTTCATTACATAAATTATTGCCTTAAATTTCTCTATATAGTAATTTTTTACTCTTTATATAAATGTCAATTTTAAATAAAAAAAATATTAATTTTTCCTTTTTTGGAACAAAATTTATAATTATATAACATATTTATTATGATTATTATATATCATTAAATTAAAAAAATTGACGAAAAAGTTTAAAACAATTGAAAAAAAGTTATTAAGTATCTACATTTAAAATCATGGTTATTGTTTTAAAATAAGTGGAACAAGCTGCAAAAATTTGTAAGATATATAGTTATACAATTCATTCACATGGCGGTTGTCACAAAGCAAAATAAATGCATGACAGAAAACCACACGAAGAATTTTCAAAGCGTTATCAGATGATCCCAAGTGCGGTGCAACATAATTCGCGGTTATCTACATTTGTATTTATGATGTTGTTGCTCCTACGCATCGTGAATACCTGTTTCACTTTTGTCACATAAAATAATGCATCAAAAATTTCTATAAAAAATTTAATTTATTAAATCTTTTTTATTTTATTTAAATTATTTGTTTTTCTATTAAATTTAAAATATTAATTTAAATCACACGTTTATTAGAATTTTTAGATTTTGATTTATTTATTTTGAATCAATTTCGAATTCATGATATAATTTTATGAAAAATTTTTAACCAATGCGAATAATATATTGAAATACGTGATTGGTTGTTTCATAAATAATTGTTCGTCGATAAAATTAAACGTCAAATTTAAAAAAAAAAATTTTCCACAATTATCAATAACAAACCAAAATAAATAAACATAATAAAGAAAACTAAATGTAATTAAAATTTTTTCGGCATTTAATCAAAATGTAACAAGAAAATCGAAACAAAATAAAAATTATGTTTAAATGAACCAATTTTTAATATAAAAATTCTGCAAAACAAATGTATATTTTTTCATATAGTATTACTGTATTATAAATATAAATTTATGTATACATGTGATAAAAAAAGCATTATATATTGGTTTTATTTCCCCCGCCCGCCCAACACATGTCTTTTTAAGTTACATGTCGAAAGTGTAAAATTCCATAATAATAACTAAAACTTCAGAGATTTACGTTTTCTCTTTTAAAAATTAGGCTCCGCCTAGAAATGAGAACAATGCTATTGGTTCACTAATGCCTTGACACTTATTAGTGCATTTTTCTTTTTTTTCTAAGTCTCGTCATCAATAATATTCTTGTTATTATTTAAGAAGCAAGGATCTTTTACGAAAAAAAAATAAATATAATATAAAGTCTTAGTATTTATTTTTATAATATGCAAAATTATTACATTTTTATGAGGTTTTGACTACATCCCAAGTGGGAAAGTGAACAATATCTTTTATTGTATTATATGCAAAATAATGTATGAGTAATCGCCCTACTTATTCAAAAAACTCAACATAATAATATATTACAAACCTTAGACATGGATTTATCTTCTTTTTTGAAATGCGTATATTTACTTTTAAAAAATATCGTACACGCTTCTTATACCAATAGAAATTGTGTATTTAATTGTAAAATTTAAAAAAAAAATTATTTATATATAAAGCGTCAAAAATTGGGTAAATAATTATGAAATAAATAAAATTTTCATTAACAAATTGCAAAAATATGTTAAAATTAAAGCAGGATTTTTTTGTCCGTATTTTTAAATTTCAATAAATATGTAAATAAAGTTAAATTAAAAATATTCTTCAATTGAGAATACTATTGATAGGAAAATTATAAGAGTTTTTCTATTATTTCTATCTTCTAAAAAAAGGAAAATAGTAATACTCTCGTATCAATTATAAAATTGCAAAGGATTTTAGATTAAGGAAACATCCTCTCAAACTGAGAATATTTTTATTCGTTGCATTTTTAATGAATTTTATTCTTATTGTTTGAATATAATGTCCTTAGATAAACAATTCTTCAATTGAAAAATATTTTTACTTCAAAAAAATATTATTCTTATTTGTATCAATTTTTTAAATTCAAGAAAATTCTTATTTAAAGAATATTTTATTATTTTATGAATATTATTCTTATTTTTTTCCTATTTTACTCTTCGTATTTTCATCAAGTTATTTTTATTTTAAGAATATTATTCGTATTTTTATGAAATTATTCTTATTTTAAGTATATTCTTCTCATCGTGAGTTATGGGATAGTGTAAAAAAACTTTATATTTAGTCACGACAAATTTTTTTTCTATGCTTATTTATATACACTATATGTGCGTCCTTCAGAAAATCCGCGGTCTATTGCCCGGGTCCTCGCGGTCATTTATCGTCGTCGTCGTCGTCGTCGCGTATAGACATTCGGTAACGCAGGTTTCATTGATGAAGAAAAAAAAAGTTATAGTACGAGACCTTGAATTACACAACAAGTAAGACAAACGGGAGCTCCGTCATTCTGGAGCAGGCAAACGCCACCACCATTAACTCCCTATAAAAGAGGCTGGAATGGACAGTGGTGATATTAGTTCGCATTTCCGCAGCTTAAACAAATCAACAAAACATGTTCTTCGAGGTACGTCAAAAAGAAAAAAAGTGTTTTCTAATATTATAATAATAGGACAAGAATTTCTTTTATTTGGTTGTAGTGTTAAACATTTTCATCATCAAGAAAAAGAAAATCTTTATTTTCTTTATAGTGTGATAAAAGTTATTTTTTAAAATATATATACGTTTTCACTTTATTAAACTTTTAGTTTAATTTAAAAATTTTTAAAATAGTTATTTGAAAAATTGTAACGTTTCAATTTCTATAAAAATATTTTTCAAGTTTTCACCGTTAAAGAATAATTTACATCTACTTTCCCGTGTTGATAATAATTTTTTTGTTTTTTCCTTGAGGAAAAGAATTTTTGAAAAATTTTTCATTTATTTTGCGAGGGAAAATTATTTGTGTCAAATGAAATTCTAGTTGAATAATAATATTATAAAATATTATGCATACACCCAAAGAAATGTTTTATTTGAATCAAATATAATATATTCGAGTTAAATAAACGTATATTTGTCTCACAGCCTACTAGCCTATTTATTTGACGTAAATAAAAAATTTTATTTAAATCAAATAAATATTTATTAGGATGTGAGACAAATATATCATTTTTCTGGGTGTAATATAAATACAATTTAATTTCGTATAATATATTATATTGTATGCTTATTTTTATTTTAAAGTATTATAAATTAAAGGCATTTGTGAAATTATTTATTTAAATGAAAACAAATATTATCTGCATAGCAAATGAATTTGATTATTAATGTGTAAATTTATTTACTCGATTTTTGTTTTCTTTGATTAAAATGTATTTAATATAATAATGCAAGAGAATAATAATTTTGATATATGAAAATATGAGATGAATATAAATTTAGTACTTTGATAATAATTAACTTTATAATTAAATCAAATTTTAAAAACGTATTTTGAAATAGCCAATAGATATTTTTAAAATTTAATAATATTAATCATTTTAATATTATATTATATTTTAATCTTTTAATTCAAATTTTAATATTAATATTCACAATTTTATTTTATTATCTTTTTTATAAATTCAATAAATAATTTTATATGTATATAATATATTATTGATTATTAATTTAATATATTTAATAAATTTTTCATTAATTTCAATAGGTCGCAGTTGTTATCGCAGTGGTAGTTGGCAGCAATGCGGTGATTACGGAATATGACGGTTATGGATACGGTGACGTTGGGTACAATGGTTTAGCGGACGGTTATGGATATGCGGCACCGGTTGCGCCAGTTGGCTTGGTGCCGGTTGTGAATAAAATTGCCTACGGTCCCGGTTACGGTGGTTATGGACTTTACAATGGTTATAATGGCGGTTATGGTAATGGTTACGTGAACGCCTACGGCCATAATGACGGACATCATGACGAACATCACGATTCATATGTAAGTAATAATAATTAGCACGATTTACAATGTAATTAAAAAATTCACTCCAATGCGCGCTCATTGTCTCTTAAGGCCAGCTCCAAGTCGAGTCAGCTGTTCCTTTGAAGTTTCAATGGAACAGCTGACACGACTTGGACCTGGCCTTAAGTCACGTTAAGCTAAATTTAATAAAATTTTAAATAATTTAGAAAAAGAATTCTTCTTCTTCTTTCATATATAAAAAGTTAATTTAAAGTTTCCTTTTCTGGTGGTATAGAAAAAAGAATTTCATTTGTAAATATATTAGAAATTACAATGTAGCCGAGAGGTCAAGAGCATTAATTCATAATTTTCCACCTGGGGTTCAATTCCAGGTAGCGATTTTTTTTTAATTATCCTTTTTAAAAATAGTTTTCACATTTTTTAAAGCGTGACACACGTTTTTCTTTGTTTCGATTGTTCATTAAAGAAAAATTATTTCTTTCAGGCTTATCCAAAGTACGCCTACAATTATGGTGTCAATGATCCCTCGACTGGAGATGTAAAAAGCGCTCATGAGGAACGAGACGGTGATGTCGTTAAGGGATCATACAGTTTAAACGAGCCTGATGGCACCATTAGAATAGTGGAATACACTGCCGACCCACACAATGGTTTTAATGCTGTTGTTAAAAAAATTGGCCACGCTGTACATCCAACACCTGTTGCCAAATACGTAGCACCAGCCATTGTACCCACTCATCACGGTCATTTAGGATATTAAATTTTTCCAACTTTAACGTATTTCTCAACAAATTTTCTAATTTAAAAAAAACATCAAAATACAGTACTCTTTCTCGATAAATAATAATTATATACTGTGTCTCAATAATCAAGGCTACAGTGTATTTATTTTAAGTCCGTCCATATATCGAGGGTCTACTGAATTTAAAAAATTTTTAATGAAATAAAAATTTGGAAAATTAAACTTTTCCGGATTTTTGTTGTTTTTAAATTTAAATGAATAAATAAATATCATATCGAAAGATTTATTTTTCCGCGATTGTTAATAATCAAACGAAAATGTAAATATTGAAATACGTTCATTCTAGACACGAATTATTTGTCCTCTGAGATTTTTTTTTTATTTTATATCTATATAGTGATTCGCGTTTCATCCCCCATAAAATGCATCTGTTAACACATATATATGAATAGAGAGATAGGACATTCCACCTTTACATAGAGAAGCGATCGTTTTAAAGTTTATTTAAAGCGATATGATATCTTCACAAAACATTTATGCTCAACTTTATAATTGACAGCGTTAAATATTTATTAATTACGATTGTAAAATATCATCAAACTTGTTGTAATTATTAATATTATTATTATTTTTTTTTATAAGAACAATGCAGTCATTGTTCTTTGCATTTGTATTTTAAAAAAATCCTTGACAAATAAAGTGTTTTATAATGTTCTTGTTTGACTATTTGAATTCTCTTTGAAATATGAGAAAAATATAATACCTATTCCTTTTATCTGTCAACAGACAGACAAACAAATAAGTTGAAGAACAAAATTAAAAATTTTTTTTTACACAAAAAGAAAAAAGTAAATTTTATAAAAGCAGCATAAAATCTAATGTAAAAAGTTATAATTTAAAAAAATTGAAAAACAATTTCTGCTAACAATAAAAATTTTATTTGAATAAAATTTTTTATGACTTACCAATGATTTCTCATATAATTTATGAGCGATGATACTGGTGCTTTCGAACATATCCTTACCAGGACCAGAGGAAAAGCATCTTTCTTTTTTGCCCGAACACGTGTATTGGACAGTGCATGGATCTCCGGAAAATTCACACTTTGGTCCACGAGTGTTTGGTGAAACATCGCCTAAATTACTGGACGCGAATGCCGACACAAATGAACCCTTTAAAAAATTAAATGACTTTTAAATTTATGTAAATTCAATTAATAATATTTAGTTAAATATTTGTTTTTTAATATTTTAAAATATTGCTAAAAAAACAATACTTATCGGTGGTAAAATAGTAAAATACTATTGTGTATAAATATTCAAAAACAAATTGAATTGACTTAAATTTACTGTATTTAAATAATAATATATTTTTAAAAAATGTGAATAAAAAAAATTTTAATTGCGCGTTTCAATATAAACATTACATTAATACAGAGTGAAAATTTCAGAAGTGGCCCCTTGATTCTCATGAAATTTGAAATTAATGTTAGGTATATTTCTATACTACTAAATGAGAGGTACTTTGGTTATAAATATATTTTTTTAATTCAAACATTAAAAAAAAATTAATATGTTTTGTCTCTACTAGCAACTTTTTTTAAAAATGTATTGAATAATCTATAAGAAGCTTTTGTTACACAATTTTTGTGATTTAAAAATGTATTTTATTGTATTTCCGTTTAAAAAGAAGAAAACAAAAATAGAAATAAACCCACATTACCTTTCCAATTAAATAACCTTTATTCATTGTTTGCTCAAGAAGAATTGAAGCATAACCAACATTGTCACTTGACACAAGACGATTAGTATTATTCATGCTAGTTGGATGAACAGCGAACCAACTAATTGCTCCGAGGGGTTGATCATTAGCACCAATAAAATGAAGTTGTGTCATTGTCTTATCCACGTCGTGTTGATATCTAAAAAACATTAAAAATTTTTTCATTATTATTTATATACATTTTTAATTTATCTTCTATTTTACATTAGTTTAAATCAATGATTTACTAATATAAAAACAAAAGAAAACCTTTTTTCTTTTTTTAAACTACTTTTTCTTTCAAAATAATATAAAAACTTATAATCATTATACTTTTCTCTCTCGGCTGCTGGATTATTTAGATACGCCTGTGGACTTCTATTGATATTTGCACCAAAAATTTCGCCTTGTGATATTAAAATTCTTCCAGGCACTATTGTATTATGGGCCCTTTCAATACTCTAAAAGAAAAAATTCCCAATTTTTTGTGTTAAAAAACAATAAATTTTCATTTTTAAATAAAATTTTATTTTTCATTTATCCAAATAATTTGAATATTACTAACATTTGTGATTCCATTGACTAGTGCAAGAAACGTTTGCTTGACGAATCCAAATATAGTGAGATCAAAAAGTACATCCATCATAAATCCACCTGGCGATGAATGTGTATGTGTTCCACTTATCATTACATTCTCATCGGTGTACAAATCACCGAATTTCTTTTTCAGTCTTTCAATAATCTACGAGACATTTTAAAATATATTTTTAAATTTTATTTTAATAAAAGAGAATTAAATTTACTACGAGTAGTAATCCAGGCTCTTATTTTGGCTAAGTATCTACAGTCGGTAATGCAGTAACGGACAGTAACAACAAGATCGATAGATCCATCGATACTATCAATAGAGTTGCGATTTATGACAGGGCTGTTTTATCAACTGTCAGTAAGATAGAAATCTATAATACCGACTGAAGATACTTAGCCGAGATCAGAACTTGAGATAGAAATTTTTGTCATTATATAATGCTCTTACCTCCTTTTTAACTCCATAACTTATCATGGCACTATCTACACTAACAAAAACAAATCTCTCCTCGCCATCGTCAATAATAAATGCCCGAGAAAAAGTTCTCAAATGAAGGCCCGTGCCTTTCTGTTTGATAGATGCATATCCCATCTGAAAAATAATAATTAAATAATAATTATAAAAAAATTAATAATAAAGAATTTTTTATCATTAGGAAAAATTAATTTTTATTTTAAAAAGAAATATATATATATGTAGGTATTTTTTTTAAAGAATTGAATATTTTTCTTTCTGCAAAATACTTACAAATACAACTTCCGCTGTTGGCCCTGTGGTGTCAGCAATTCCAACACCAATACTGTAAGACGCAATTACTGCTGGTAGAATAATAAGAGCGATGAATATCTTGATTAGTCCACATTGTCCTGTGTATGGAACTCTCAACGAATCCATTCAATATTGTAAAATTTTCGCTCGTACTTACTGCAATGCAAACAATGCAATTGTTTATAGAAAAAAATTAACTTTTTCCTTTTTTTTTTTGTTTACAAAAATACAGGAAATTAATTTAAACATTTTCAATATCTAATCACAATATATATAAATATATATGACATTATCATCGAAACGTGTAGTACAATGATAACATTCACACAAAATAAAAGTCAATTGTCGTTTCATATAAAATAAATTTTTATTAATAATAATTAGAATTTATTACTAAAGAATATGGCATAAATTTTTAATTAACGACGTCGAAAACTCTCTAGTAAGAAGTTTCAAGCAAATACGATGAATTTAAACAAATTCATCCGCCATTTTGAATTTAAAATAAATCTAATTAATTTCTGATTATAGTCCAGAATTTTTCCAGGAAAGCTGATCATAAGCATATACATTGCTAGTAAATTTAAATCAAAGTAGCATTTCTTTGATATAAAGGAATATTTTGAATTAATGAAATGTTTTCTTTAATTTAAAGATTATGTTATTAACAATTTTTTATATACAGATTTCTGCATTATCGTCAGTTGTTAATGCAAACTCCTACGTTATCAACTGACAATAATTTAGATTACCAACAGAATTTGATTTTTTTTATCATTATTGTTGGCTTTTTTTAACTATTTTTATGTCAACCATCCCAGTAAACCCGGACAACGCGGAAAGAGGCAATGTTTTTCCAAGAACTGAGATTCCCCCACTTTCGACTCGCTGGTACATAATTACATATTACACGGGCACTACTGAGATTAAAGTAAATAAAATTCGAGAGACACTTGCATCAGTGGGGGAAAAGCTCGCTCGACAAACTGGGGAAGCGGCTTTACTGAGAGAGGGTTTACTGTATTTGTCTATACGAGCATTTATTTATATCTTACTTAAATGCATATTTATTGTGAAGAGTATTCGGACATTTACTATCTGACACAAATAATTAAAACTTTTTACGAGCAGAAAAAAGGTCAAAATTTTATGTAATCTCAATAAATATTATTTTACATATTCAGAAAGTTTTTCGAACATAACCTCAAAACTTAAGTCCAAGAGGAAAACATAACCTATCAAAATTCAAGGTCACGAGTCAAGGGACGACCATAACCTCAAAATTTAAACCAGTATATACATATATAAATAATGTAAAAATATCATTATAAATGGTCCTGATAATATATATTATTATTGTTAAATATAAATAATATAATAGACGCATTAACGTTGAGTTTCAAGTGAAGAAAAATAAAATCTATCTTTCCAAACAAATAATATTAATTGACTATCTCAGTTATGGATATATAAAGATATAAAAAAAAGTAAATATGTCAACAGCAAAAAAAAGTAAAAAAAAAAAAAAAAAAAAAAAAACAGAGCACTAACCTGTCTCTGAAGTTTCAACACACCAAAGAACAATTTCCTTTATAGTAATTGGAACACCTGATTACATTCCTTTCGTTGAATAAAACGTCAACTAAATGCAATAAATACATTCATACACACACATATATATATATATATATATATATATATATATATATATATATATATATAAAACTATTATCCGCAATAACGCAGTAAACACTTTGAAGTATTATAATATTTCTTCTTTTTTTTCTCTTTCAATAATAATCACGTTTTTGATTAATTTATTTTATTTAAAATTTTTTTCTTTAAATTTTTTGAAAATTTTACTTTTAACATATTATCATCACTTTTAACTCTCATCTCATAATCTGGACCAATTCCTTTGCTCATACATTGGTTAACTAACTTGAGAGAGTCACTCACAGTATAAGAATGAGAGATCGTCCAATGGAAAGAGATGAAAATATACATAGAAAGAGACAGAAAGAAAGAACGAGAGAGAGAAAGATCCTATAGAATTTTTTTTCCTGTTGCATTAAACATTCGCCTTTCTCTATTAATATTTTTAAAAAAATTATTTTTTTAATCCTTCGATCATGATATAGTTTTTATGTTTAGCAATTTTTTTTCTTTTTTTTTAATGTTGAATATATAAGTATAATTCTCATTGTTGTAATTTTGCAAAAATATTTGTAACGTCTATTAAAAAATTTTGCAATGCATAAATTTTCTATCTAGTTAAAAATTTTTTCTTTGTACTTTATTATGATTGTACAATAAAATAGTATATATATATATAAATGAACAATTTGTTTATAATATTATATTTACGTTAATCAATAATTATTTATTATTATTAAAAAAATTTATGAAATAAACTAATTTTTGTAGTAAAAAGTAAAATTTACTTTTTCGTTCCAAAAATAATTCTCTTTAAATTTGTTTAATTATAAATAATAGTGAACTTTTTCTATAAATAATAATAATAATTTTTCTAAAATTATTTATTACATAAAACAATACTCAACTATTTTTAGGATGATATTAATATCCTTATTTATCTCAATGAAATACCACGTGTCTGGTTGAGACTTTCGTGTGTGACATAATTTCGTACCATCCAGGTAAATATATAAAAATATTCACTTTCACTTTTTCGCCATTAATTCTTATGCAAAAAAAAAAATTGTACACATTTTATTTACGACTTTTTCTTTTTTTGTCGTCAATTTTTGTTTCAAGGCAGCTGTGAATTTTTTTTAATTTTTAAGTGTAAGAGAACAATGGAAGCGGAACGGTCAAACGGTGAGACACTGAAAATTCGAGGACACAGAAGAGAACCGAGGGTATACACGACGTGACTGGTCTGACAAGATTAGTTTACAGATCGTTTCGAATAGTTGTTGCCTGACTTTTTTTCTTCTTCTATTATCTATTATGCTCGTGACTTGTCCAGTTGCAATGAAGAGTGGGGATACGGGAAACGTGTTATTGTTTTCTTATCTATTGTGTATATCTATATTGAAAATCAAAGATAAATTTAATCTCAACACAGTAATGGAAAAAAACCTTTTTTAAATGACCAAAAAACAAAAACTTATTGTATAAATATAATTTTTAACGTTTAGATTTACTGCATTGCATCCTTATAATTCAGATATTTTGAACCATTCATAAGTAACATAATGGATGAAATTTTTATCAAAGGAAAAAAATTATTTTTTTATTGCTTCTATTATTTGAAGAACATTATATTATAAAAGCCAATAAACTCGCTCAGATATTGTCATCTTGTTATCTAAAAAACATTACGCGACATTATTACTCGCAATTTATATATACCTAAAGACATTGCACCAACTTTTACTTCCGTTTTTTTTCGCTTCTCTTTTGTTCCACAATGTCTGAAATAAAACAGAGGGGATTAAGGGGTTTTTCAAACCCTTTTCACGCTATACTATTGATATCTTCTATAAAGGAAGAATCAAATAAATTTTCGTATTGAGAATCACTTCGCAAGGATCTTGTTTCAATTTGACATAAAAAGAAAATAGTAAAATTTAACTGCAAAATTATAATAAGTATGAAAAAAATGTCTTTTTTTCAAAATTAAATTTAGAAAAATAATATGATAAAAATAGTGGTTAATAATAAATAAAAAATACATCAAAAGCGTTGCAAAAAAAAATTAATGAGTGAAAAATATTTAAGTTTTTCAAGTAAATAATTAATTATTTATAAGGATTAATTGATAAATTAATAAATATTTTTAATATTTTTATAAATGTTGTTAATTAAATTATTATTATCGACATGATAATTATTAATATTTTTCATATTAAAAAAATGGTTAGTATTAACGTTATTATTTAATTAAGCAATACATATAAAAAAAAAATTTAATATACTTACCATTGTGGTAAATTTAATCGTAAATGTTTACATCACATTCCAGGATCGTTTGACGATGAATTTAGTAATAATAACCAAAAACTCTCAGAAACATTTCTAAATGGCCGATGAAATGCAATAGCTGGCATTATACTCTATTCAACACCTATTAAATTAGAATTGCAAAAAAATACCCCCCCCCCTCACTTTTTTTACGATTCTTCTTTTAATAATTATCAAAAAATTATAATAATTATGTAAGCATTATCATATGCTATATATAATTTAAAAAAAAAGAATGTCGATTTTTTTCAAAGAAACAAAATTTAAAAATTGATTTAGTTTCACTTATTTTATTATTATTTTTCACTATTTTAGAAACAAAAAAATTTTTTTTATGTTTGATTAAAATTTTCTGTTTATTCAAAATTTATATAAATAATTTGGTACTGTTGATTTTTTAATTTTCTTATTTGAAAAACAAATATTTTTTAACATCTGAACAATTATTTCAGCAATTATTAAAGGTAAGTTATAATTTTAATTGTAACTTAAATTTTGTTTAGTTCTGAATGACATGAAAAAATCCGTTTCTTTAATTAAATATTTTTAGAAATGTTAAAATAATTTCTTTATACAAATCATAAAATTGAAAAAAATTTTTTAATAAAATTGCATTTAATTTGTTGAATAAGAAGTTTGTTAACTTTTTTTTAATCTACTTTAACGAATTCTTCGCTCACTCATAAAAAGAAATAAAAAATACTGAAAAACCCCCACTACATGTGTATATCAATATATTCAGAAAAAACATTCACTTAATTTATCATATTTTTTTTTGAGGTCACGACATTTAAAGGTGTTTCACTTTTCCGTTATTTTTTATTATAAATTTCAACTATATCAAACCACACGACTCAACGTTGATGCGAAAACTATCACTTTCAACGACCATCCAATGGTCGATGACTATAGAGAAAGTGAGAGGGTGTCATTACACAATGATAATAAATACGTTATACTATTAACGAACAGTTTGCAATTCAATTGGCCTAAAATGATAATTTTGATATCTAAAAATATTTAATTTTAATAAATCAACAAGTTTTTAGAAAACCAAAATTTTTGTATTTTAATTATTTGATTAAAAGTAGATATATTTTTTCTTTCTAATTAAAGCGATGAACAAAAAATGCTTATTAAAGAAGATTCTATTGCTAAAAAAAATTATTTTCCATTGCTATAAATATAGTGATAGAATGAATCTTAAAATAACAAAAAGGAGCGCGCTACTTTTGTTAGTAGTACGGATAGCGGTACAACCAATCATAGTGCGATACCCCCACTCCTAGAGTGAAGCGCTCGCCGCAAAAAAATAGTGGGGATAGCGCGTCTACGTTTCGCGCGTTCACAGAAGTGGAGGTAATGCAACCACCAATCACGCTGCGTTTAATTCACCCCCACCACCTATAAAAATTTCTTAACCAGATACTTAAATTTTCGTGAATTTTAATTATAATATTACATATATATATATAAATAGTAATTGTAATATTAAATCTTAATTAATAATCGTACACCTAATTTATTATTATTTTAATTTTATATTTTATTTTTTATAATAATACAAAATATACACTAATTAGTATTTAATATTTTATATATACATATAAAATTAAAATTTATTTATGGTATTGAAAAATTAATGGTTATTAATGTTAAATATAAAAAAAATGATTTCGCTTTGTCAGTGACCTAAATGAAAAATTCCAAGTTTATAGAAGAATCGTAAAATTAACTCTTGCGAAACAAGTTATGCGAATGTTCCTGTTTCCTGTATCAAATGTCTTTCATTCAATGTGCATTATTTTTTAATACACATATAACATGCTGTATAAAAATCAATGTTTCGAAAGAAATTGCATTCAATATGACAAGAAAAATCTTATTTCACATATTTAAATTCACAGTTATTAGGCAAAATATGGAAATTATGGTTTTTTTCATATTATAACACTGCATAAAAAGAAATTTCATTATTTATGACAATTACCAATTTTTTTTATTCTATAACACTTTAAAATATAGTTTACAATGGGAATTTACAATTTTTTATAATATACAATTTAAAATAATTTTATAAAAATAATATATAGATGAATAATTATATTATTATGGGAATTAATAATTATTTTTATAAATAGAATTTAAAAGTTATAAAAAATAATTTTACCAAAAATGTTATACGTCAGAAATTGCATTTTCTATCCAGTTACGATGTTTCGCAAGATCAGTATAAACAACATATTGCTTTAAATCACAGGACTTTCTTTCATTGTCGGACAATGACAACGACACGAGTCCACGTAAATGGTATTTTCCAGTTTCGGGATTCAATATTTGTAGTCCACTTCCACTATCTCCATTGCATGGACCTTTTCCATTTCTATTACCAGCGCAGAATGTTCGATTTGACGTTATAATTAGAAACGCAATATTGCTGCGTAAACAGTCTTCCTGAAATTAAAGAGAAACTATTTTTATTTTAATATTCTATTCCTTGACACTATTTGTAAAAAGAAAAGCGTTTCAATTTTCTAGGAGTGGGGATAGTGTCATTACTCAACTTCCACTGACTGAAGCGCGCGGGCTTTTTAAATCGAATACACTATAATAATAATAGTAAGAAAAAAATTCATTTCATTTTACCTGTGAGACAATTGTTTCACTCATCATTTGTGGTTCGCCATTAAAATTTTCACCATATTTTCCCCATCCCACAACAATGCCCGATTTGCCAATAATTTTCTCCAAATCAATTGCTCCATCCCATAAGCAAATTGGTTGAACATTCATTGTATATTTAACAGAATTTGACAACACAAGAATTGCTAAATCCGAATCAGAATGTGGATATGGAATTTGTATATAATCAGGATGATATCTAATTTCAGAAATTGTTCGTCCCACCGATTCCAATTCGTTTTCAACATCAAGATAATATTTGCCAAGATAAACGTACACTTCGTCAACAATTTTTGCTCTATTTTGTATAAAACAATGGGCCACTGTAAAATTTCAATGAAATACTTTTTCATATTGATATGGAAAATTTTCTCTCCTTTAAAAGCGATTAAAAAAATTATTTTTTATTTAAATTTTATTTTAATTTTGAATTTTTTTTTTTTTTATTAAAATATAAACAGAAAAATACCTGAAATAATATGTTTTGGAGTAATGAGACTTCCGGTACATTTAAATTCAAATGTAGTTTTTGATCGTACAAAAATTGCTGTCAACCAAGGCCATTGACCAGGATATGTTTTATCACTATTTTCATTAAGATAAAGAATTGATAAATTTGTGACTTTCGATGAGCCACAATTTCTCTCAATTCTCACATTTTCATTTGCTGGTGTCATCAAAGAAAAATTTGAATTATTATTATTATTATTATTCAGCGGAACTTGATTATTGAATCGAAAGAGAAATCCCGGAGGATAGAGAATTTTTGCATAATCAATTATGTTAACAATTGGCCATTTATCTAGAATAATTAAAAACAATTTCTATTTAGTATAAATAATAAATTCACACTATATTTAGAATATATAGAAATTTCCATTCAACGAATTGAGTTAATTATGTTTTTCTTAAGAAATTATTTATTAGTTAAAGTAATAACTAATTATTAATAAATATATATGTATATTTATATTAAAAAAACCACCTGCAGGACCAACACACATGAGTTGATTGTTAAAATGAATTTCTTTAATAAATGGTAACGGTTGCTGTACAGGAAATCGAATTCGATAAAATAGCGATTTTCCTTCGTCAATTGCCTGTTGAACCGGAGCATAAACGTTCTGCGGTTTAATAAATTCTAAACTTCCATTGTGTTTCTTAAATGATATAAATATTTTTTTATATTATCATCAATTCTTTTATTAACTAAATAATTTAAAGTTATTATTTAATAATTATAATAATATAATTAATAATAATTACAACAACAATTATTATTATTATTTTTATTATAACAATAATAATAGTTTAAAAAAATGAATGTAAAAAATGTGTTATCACCAATTATTACAATTAAATAATAATAATAATAATAATAATAATAATAATAATAACAATTATTTACCTCCGGTAAAATGGAAAGAAAATTAAATGCCACTCGTAACATTAGAGGAACTTGTCTTGGTAATGGCGGTGGAATTTCCACAATTCCCATAATCTCGCAAATTTTCTCATCATAATAATAGCGAAAATATTTCGGACACGGCGAATCCGGTAATTGACATTGTCCAGAAATAATGGACTGCGCCGAGAATAAGAGTGATAAGTAGAAAATTATCATTCCAAATTTCTGTAAATTCATACATATTTATCGAGGGGGAATTTACTGGTAAAAATTGTGTACACTTGACTACAACTACACATATTACCATTATTACTTTAGTATTACACTTTTTACAAGTATTACATATTACTACCAAAATATTACTGTATTACAAAGTATTACGCACATACATATATTACTGAGTATTACCCTTTATTACAAAAAATATTACACGCCAAATAGCACTTTCTTATATGTAGAACTTTCAATAAAATTACTTAAAATTATTATTTAAGAGCAAAACTTTAAAATAAATAATTAAATATTTTTAAATATTAGGATAAGTGCATCAATTACGTTGCGTTAAAAAAATAAAAATTATGTGATTAAAAAAATTATTTTAATCTTTTTTTAATACAATTACTAATGAAGATGCACATTTAAACAATTACTAATTATTAAATTATTTGAGATCAAAAATTTTTTCCCTGGCCGTAATTGAAACATTTTTAATACTTCCATTTTTTTCCAATTTCGACGGGCAAAGTATCTTCAAAATACACGTAGTTTTGGTCACCGAAACTGATAGAAACTTACGGTATTAGTTTTAATTTCTCATATTTGTTTAAATGATCGATTTTTATAAAGTTAAACATTTTTTTAACATCTAAATAACATAACCTTTTAGTTTAATAAATCTTAAATTGAGTTTATACAATAGAAATGTCGAATTTTCTATTTGGTTTAATTTTCTTTAAATTTTTTAAAGTATTACACCATAATACCACAATATTACAAGTATTACAGTGTTACATGGTATTACACAATAATACTTATTATTACAATACATTAAAAAATATTACAGCTATTACCGAGTATTACCAGGCAAGTGTACACTTGACTACAAGAGTAAATTCCCCCTCGATATTTATCCATTATTTATTTATTTATTCTAATTTTTGTATTATTTAATTAGAATAAAAAGTTAAATATGAATAAAAATTATTTTTAATAAACAATAATTTTTATTAATAATATGATAATAATTACTTATAATTATATAATAGAAAATATTTTGACCTAAATATGCATTAAAATTGGAAATTAAAAAAGAGGTTTTTAAATGCAAAAACATTATTCTGCAACACCTAGTTTAAAAAGCCAAGCTGCTTATGTACGAAAGATTCTTATAAATTTTAATACTATAAAACATTGAAAATATTTTTTAAAAAAATAATATTATAATATAATTCAAAGAAATTTTGACGCAAAAGTAAAATTTTTAAAAATTATAAATAAAAAAATAATATGTATATGTAAGAATATATATATATATTTTGTGTTTTTATATATGAAAATATGTTATTATAATAATTTTAATAATTCATATTACGAAATACATTTATATTATATTTAAAATAGTACAAAATTACACACACAAAAATCGAAAACAATTTTCTATTTCTATATTAAATATTAACAATTTACTTACATTAAGTAATGTTGAATTTTACAAGGAGCCATCTTTCTATTCGTCAAAAATATATTTCACTTATTTCATTTTTAAGATGGCGATCTTGTTACCAATTAGCTGACTAATCAATTTAATTTACATATGATCTTCACTAACACACACATGCAAAAATCAAATATAGGTTACCCCTCTTTCTTATATGTACTCTTGTTCAAAAGAATTTTTCTCAATCTTTTTTTTAATTATAATTTCCATTTTATCTTTTTTTTAATAAAATAAAAAAATTATATTTTCATATGCTATAAATTTCATATTTCCCAAATTACTTCTATTAACATTTTTTAAATAATTTCCTATAATTTACTATTAATTTATAATGAATTAATAATTAAAAATTAACAAATATTTTTTATTTTCTTGAGAAAAAAAGTGTGATTTCTCAATTTCTTTTTTTTTTATTGTTTTAGTGAATTTTATTTAATTTTCATTTCAATTGTTTTATGAAAAAAAGAATGTATGTATTATTTTTTTTACATTAATGGGTCGATGTACTTTGGTGAAAATTTTTATGCTGAAATTTTATTACACCCCTCTCACACCCCAAGTGACAGCATAGAAACGGCTGACATAGAGAAAATATTGAATGAAATTCCAGAAATGACCTTGTTTTAAACATTAATTCATAAATTTCGAGAAATTGTGAATACGCATTTTTTTTATTACACGAATTTATTTCCGGTTGCAATAAACATAAATTTATAATGAATGTTTTACTAGTAAAATTACAAATACAATTATATAGTAATGAAATTTTTTAAAAATTAAATGTTGTTTTTTAATAAAATTTTTTTTAAAAATAAAATTAGTTTGTTAAGAAATTGAATTTTTTTATATATTAATTTAATTTTCAATTAATTATAATTTTTATAATTTTAAAACTTTTTCACGTAACATTTGACATTTTTTTCAGTTTTTTAAAAAATTTCTCCTATGAATACGATGAACAGTTGATCCTTTAAATGTAAGACGAAAAGCTCATCTCGTCCTTGCCATAAAATAACCATTAGCGTTGAAGGCAAGCTTTTCTCATCAAACACATTTAGTGGATTATATCCAACAGAGTTTTATGAGCGAACAAGTAGTCTAACCAAATTTTATACACTCCTGAAAGTATTAACAACGCCTACAATGTTTACCTTATTTTAAAAAAAATTTTTTAATCAAAAAAATATTTATTTAATTTTTTGTACCACAGTTGAGAATATAAAAAAAGGAAATAAAGAGAATATTTAAAAAAAAAACTTTTTGTTTATTGTCTTCTTCAATACAAAAAAAAAAATGGGACAATTTACCCCATAGCCATTTTACCCCACATTGAGTAAAATAACATAAATATATGAACGTACAATATTATTGGCAAATATATTTGATAAAATAAGAATAAAAATAAAAATTGAAATTTATGTCATTTGAATTATATTTGTGCAATTTATATATATTTTATTAAGAATTCATTCATAGAAATAAATGGTACGCAAATTCTGCGAATTTTTAGCTCTTGAAATATGAAAAAAAAGAAATAAAAAAAAAGTTGCAAGGTAATTAATTCTCAGGTGCGTGGCCAAAAAGTCATTCACCTAAAATATATTTTGTGAAGAAATCACTTTAAGCAATGTCTGCACAATTACGCTGATATATGCATTAATAGTAAATGTCGCTCTTTGCGAACCACAATATAATTAATTTCAATTTATTTCAGTTTCAATCCAGCAAGTGTAAAGATATATATCTTTTAATTACGTGAAATTAAATTAACTTCTTTTTCATGTGATTTGTACATATATATAAAAAAGAGTGTGGATTTTGACAAAGTGATTTTTGGGAAATATTTTTAAAAAGTGCATTTTTTAATGGTATATTATAAATAATTTTTATTTTTTTTAACAAAAATTAAATTTTACAAATAATTATTCAAATAGTATACCTAATGTTGTAAAATCAGTGAAAATTAAAATTAATTTAAGAGTTTTAAATAAATTATTAAAAATTTTAGCGTCTATCAAAAAAAAAATTTTTTTAATTCAATTTTTTCTTCTTTTCTGAACACAAAACAATAAAATGTTTCTCTTCAAGTAATACAGAACATAACGATTACTCTGTATAATGTAATTAGGTTTTTTTTTTTTACATATTTAAATTTTATTTAATAAAAAATTAAAAAATAAATAAAATAAGTTAACATAGTGAGAGTGACATAGTGGAAAATAATTTTTTTTCAATAAACATAAAAATAAACTTTTTTTTAATACTTCATTAATAATTTGTAGCACCATGGCTAATCCACATTCAGGATATAATAATTCACAATCTCCGGAATATACTAATGAATTTAGAAACCAACAAGAATTCCATTACGGTAATTATTAAATTAATTATTACAATTATTTTATTAATATTAATAATCACTATTATTAATTGCTAAAAGAATTAATTACAGATTTTTGACTTATTTATTTAATTTGTTACTATCTGTTTAATTATTTATTTATTAATAAATTAATTCAATAAATTTAATTGTTGATTTAATTTTTGATTATTTGTTCAATTATTTATTATAATAAATGAAAAATTTTACTTTTTTACAGTTAGAAACGACAATAGTAACAGAATTTTTCCAATGCACTTCAATCGAGAGATTTCAACTGGAAGACGAATAAAAATTTACATCTTCATTACGTCAATTGTTCTTTCCGTATTTCTCTTATCATCATTTTGCGCCTACAAAGCTCTTATAGCTGGTAAATATAATAATTAATTCACAATAAATGTAATTATATAATTATTAAAATTTTATATAATAGAATTTAATTTTAGTAATAATTAATTTTTTAATATTTTATTTTTACTTGAAACTTTCAGAGGACAGTTATTTAAAAGTATATTTTCAAAGAATTGTCGAATCACACAATGATGAAAAGGAGAAAACGACCCTTGTAGATTATGTAAATGCTCCATTGGATTTGGAGCTTCTTTACAATTTTCAAGACGAGGACAATTCACCGAAAAATCGACCAAAACGAATAAGACGTAGTACTAATAATAATAATAATAATTTAGAAAATTGTAAAAAAATCCATAAAAATTGTCAAATTCTATTGGGAGAAATTCAGAAATCAAACACTTTTATTGACCTTAATAAGGAGGAAGAAATTAAAAATTATTTTCATGCATATAATGACAAGACACTTGAGGAACTTCGTAATTGTATTGATTGTCGAATAATCGAAGAAAGAAGTGGAAAATTTTTTAATGACGATGAAACATCTGATTGGATAAGACATACAAATCCTGATATTTATCCAGATAATTTTATTAATAATAACATTAACAATAATCCTCAACGTATTAATATTCCATTACCAGGAATTAATAATAATCAAATTCAAAATTTCCCGCCAAATTTTAATGATTCTGAATTAATTAATAATGTTAATAATGGCAATCATGAAATACATATTGTCAAAACAAACACATCGAAACTTCTTAATGGCACAAAAATTACGTATATTTTGAAAAATATGACAATCATCGAAAAACCCACAACGCCACGGCCGATTAATGGAAATTATGGTCAAAATATTAATTCTTGGCAGAATTACAGTTTCCAAAATGTCATTGGTCAAGGTGGTCAAAATTTTCAAGGAGGTCAAAATTTCCAAGGAGGTCAAAATTTCCAAAGTGGTCAAAATTTCCAAGGAGGTCAAAATTTCCAAAGTGGTCAAAATTTCCAAGGAGGTCAAAATTTCCAAAGTGGTCAAAATTTCCAAGGAGGTCAAAATTTCCAAAGTGGTCAAAATTTCCAAGGAGGTCAAAATTTCCAAAGTGGTCAAAATTTCCAAGGTGGTCATGATTTCCAAAGTGGTCACAATTTTCAAGGTGGTCAAGAATTCCAAAATGGTCAAAATAATCAAGGTAGTCAATATATTAATCAATTTAATAGTCAAAACTACCAACAAAGTCAAAATGTTCAAGGCACCGTTAATCAAGTTCCATTTTTACATGCTCAAAACAATTTGGGTCAAAATAACCAATTAGGTCAATACAATCAACAAGAACCAAATTTACAATCGCCTCACAGTAATTTTCTATGGCAAGGGCAGAATAATGGTCAAAGCGGACAATTCCTCGAAAACAATTTAATAACACACGGTCAAGAATATTCAACAGGTCAAAATTTCCCCACTGCTCAAGGTTTCCCCAGTGGTCAAAATTCACCAACTGGTCAAGGTTTTTCAAGTGGTCAAAATTTCCCCACTGGGCAAGGTTTTCAAAACGGTCAAAATTTCCCCACCGGTCAAAGTTCATCAAATTGTCAAAATCACCCCAGTGGTCAGAGTTCTCAAAATGGTCAAAATTATCCCAATGGTCAAGGTCAAAATGGCGAAACTGAACATTTTAAAAACGCTCAAAATTGCATAACTTGCGTTATAACAAAACTTGAAGAAAATAATGAAAATATTCCAAACGGTTTAAATTACCAATTTGGAAAAAATGAGGACAATTTATTGACTCTTTTGACTGGTCCAAGTAATACAAATGTTCGAAATCCAACGCTAGATTTTAATGGATTGAATAATCAAGAATTTCCAATAATTGGTCCAACTGGTGGGAATCAAGAGTTTTCTGAAAATCAACAACAAGGATCGTCATGGCCAAACAGTCTTTTTGCGTCTCGATTTAAAAATGATTATAATATAAACAACAAAAATAATTCAAATCTCAAGAATGGCTATCAGAATATGGTGAAACTTTCTGGTTTTGATCCAACTTCCATGGATGTTACGGTAAAATTTGGAAAATTCAAAAATTTTAAACAATTTTTTTTATTATTGTCAAAAATTTTAATCTATTACAGAAAATAAACAATTATTATGAAGCGGGACAAAATGGAAAAATAAATGAAAATCCAACAGGAAATGATCAATCTCCTCTAGTCTGGGTTCCTGTTTTGCTTTGCTTCAATGGAAAAGAATTAATTTCAGCTTCTGAAGGTAAAATTAATTCAAATTTTCTAATTTTTCATTGTTTTTTTTTTTTTTGAGGATGAGGAGGGAGGAAAAGAAGAAAATGTAATTGTTGGTGTAATTACACTGTAATTTTTTCTCAAAAAATTATTTTCAAGTAATTTTGAATTTTTGTCGTCAATTAGACGAAAAAGCGACCACAATTATCTTATATTTCAATTAATTAATTAATAATCCTTATTAATATTCAACATTATTATTAGACTAATAAATATCGAGTAATTATAAAATTTAAATTTTTCTCTCTCAATAGTCGTCCCTGGAATGACAAGTCAGCAATCGTTTGTAATGCAGAATTTGATGAATCAACAAAACACAAATATTCATCCATCAGAGTTTGAAATTGATAATATTGGACCCACAGGACCGGGTCAAAATATTTTCATCAAACGAGAGAATAATCAACAAAATCAAATTCACTGCACATATGAAAAGCGATATAAATCGACATTGAAAACACGCGATACCAATGAATCAATTGTTGCAAAAAATATTACCATACGTCAGTCGATGTACCCATATCATCAATTTCCCTATTATCCATTGTCTGGTCAAGACTTTGCACAAGGTAGAATTTTTGAATTTTTTCGTTTTGGAAATTGGAAAATTAATTAATTGGTTGAAATAAAAGTTATAACAATTAATTTATTAAATAATTCACTAATTCTTTTCGATTTTCTTCGATCGAGATTCCCATGAATTGAATTCTCATCGATCGAGCATTAAATAGAAAATAATTTTTAAAAAAAGAAAAAACAAAAAATGGTAAATTTTTTTTTTAGAACGATCGAATGTAGTTTGCCAAAATGGACAACGTTTATGTAAAAATCGTGACAAATGCATACCGAGTTTACAATGGTGTAATGGAAAGACGAATTGCAATGATGGAAGTGATGAATCTGACTGCACATGTAGAGACCGTTTGGAACCTAATCGAATATGTGACGGATACTTTGATTGCCTCTATGGCGAAGATGAATTAGGATGTTCAGGTAAATATTGAAAATAAAAATAATTACGCATACGAATTGATTCTACATTTACTATAGACTAACATAAAATAAAAATTTTATTAAAAAATTTCATTTTTTCTTTAAATTTTTACAACTATTACTTTAATGAAATTAATTTTTTATTGATATATTTAACTTGAATTTATTTTCTATTTCCCTCAGTACAGTATGTGTAAATACTAAATATATATTATGTTTCTGAGAAATTGAATATCGAGATGGATATACCCTTAAATCATATATAATCTAATTTATCGAATGTAGATGAAAATTTATTGATGCATAAAGTCCACTATTTTGGAATCTAATGTTTCAATGGTTGCAATTAGTATTTCCATTAGAGTCACGAATAGGAAAGATGATTGTCGTCCTTTGGTATCGGTTTACTATTCCGTTCATGTAGAAGGCTGATAAACGTCATATTCATGAAAATACCAAGTTCACTGTCACAATTCTCTCTATCTTTCTTTATATATTTTAATGTCATGTTTATTATTTTATGTTATTGTTGAATAATTTAATGTCATTTCACTCAATTTTTTGCTGCTTTACTTTTTTTGTTATTTTATGCTATTTTTTTGGCATTTCGAAACGAAAGTTATAAAAAAAATTAAATTAAAAATTTATTTAACAATAGGTTGCTCCGCTAGAAATTTTAGCTGTGGTGTTAGCAATATATTCTCAGCAATTAATCGTTGTTATACTCTTGACCAAAGATGTGATGGAAGACTGCAATGTGAAAATGGAAAGGACGAAAAGGATTGTGCAATTTTAACAGCTGAACCTTCAGGAAATAAAGGCGTAAGATTTTTTTTTCTTTAAACTACATTTTTCTGTTGTTTATAATCAATATTTATAAAAATACACAAACAAAAAATTTTTTTTTTCATATTTACGTAAAAAATAAAAAAAATTGTAATTTTTCTTATTTCAGTTATTTATCGCCGGGCACAATGCTGGCTTTTTACACAGAAATGTTCGAGGACTTTGGTATCCTGCTTGTAAAACTTCACTACGTTGGGCAATAGAGGCTTGTCAATCACAAAATGAGTTAATATTAGAGTAAGATAAAAAGAAAGAATTTACAAAATTCATATAAAAAAAAAAATTTTTTTGTAATTTTTTCCTCCCTTTTTAGTAAAGAACCAGAAATTAAAACGCTAATTGGTATTGTTCGTTCGGGACCATTTGTCGTGCCACAAGCTTCTGGTGCTGTTGAATTTGTGACAAATTGTTTTAATGCAATTGAAGTGAAATGTCCAAAAATTGCATGTGGCATGAATTCAATTGATTTTTCTCGTCAACGTTTTTCTCGGGAAATAAATGAAAATTCGACAAAAGTTGTGAGACAAATTTTTCACGATTCAGTACAAGAACCTGCTGATCCAATTTTAGGAATTATAGGTGGAAAGAGAAGTAAACAAAATGCCTGGCCATTTATAGTGGCATTATACAAAAATGGTGAATTCACATGTGGTGGATCAATTATTGATCAACAATGGATTCTCACAGCCGCTCATTGTGCTTACAAGTATTTAAATTTATTTACATATTGTATTTATTAAAAAAAATTTGAACAATTCCCTCAATGATAAAAAAAAGAAAATATTCTTCTTTTGAGAAGAATCCTTTCATTTTTTTATGGTCATCTCAAATTAAAAAGGACTTTCTTCTCAAAATTAAACTATTTTTTTCTACAGTTTTCAAGAAAATTATTATGAAATACAAGCCGGAGTAATTCATCAAACAAATTTCTCACCAAAATCACAAGTCAGAAAAGTTGTCCAAATTATTGTTCATGAGAAATTTAATCGACAAACAATGCAAAATGACATTGCATTAATGCGTCTTAGTGAGCCACTTAATTTGGATTCTTGGATTCGTACAATTTGCATTCCAACTGATGAAAACTTTCCACCAGCCCATAGGACATGTACAATAGCCGGTTGGGGTGCTGTACGTGAAAATGGAATTGCACGTTAGTAAATTTATAAATAATTTTAAATAATGGTAATAATTTTATATAATTATGTTTTTTTGTTGTGATTTTTAGAAGAGGTAATGCAAGAGGTTGAAGTGCCAATTTTAACAAAGTGCAATAGTCAACAAATTAAAGAAGATTTGGCAGTTTGTGCAGGATTCAAGCAAGGTGGAAAAGATGCATGTCAAGGTGACAGTGGAGGACCTCTTATGTGCAAGTAATTATCATTTTTAAAACTAAACGATCTTAAATAACTTATAAATTTAATTTAATTAATGTACTCATAAATTTAATATTGAGAAAAAATTTTTTTCCAGACAAGGAAGACAGTGGTTTGTTGCTGGAATTGTTAGTTATGGTATCGGTTGTGCACGTGCCAATGAACCAGGTGTTTACACAAGAGTCAGTAAATATGCTCCATGGATTTATCAAAAGACAAGTAAGTAATTAAAAAAAAATTAAACTTAACCTTTTTCAGTCAATGTTGAACCGAAAATATGAAGAAAAAAGATATAATTTTTTCTTTTTATAATTTTTAGTGAATCCTCAAACAAATGGGCGCGAACAACCGCAATTAAAATGTCCTGGATTTAAATGTCAAACTGGCACTAGACAATGTATTTCAAATCGAAAATTATGCGATCAAAAAGTACATTGTTTAAGTGGTGAAGATGAAACAAATTGTCAAAATCAAAATCCATTTCGAGAATATTATGAATCACTACATGATATTTACGACCCTCATGTGGCTTATGAAACTAAACAACAAATGCAAATTGAAAATCCATATCCAAATTTTTCTTACTTTAAAAATAATAATAATAATAATAATCAACCGCAACAACAACAACAACAACAACAACAGAATAGTCCATTTGAAAATAGTCGAAAAAATGTCCTCAATAATAATCCATCGGAACGACCACAAAATAATTTTATCGAGGAAAATAATCCTTCGGAAAAACCACCTTATTTTGGATACAAAAAAGCTAATAATAATAATAATAATCCATCGGAAATGCCACCATTAATCCTGAATAATTTTGGTCAACAGGAAAATAATCAAAAAACAACACAAAATCAGGGAATAAATACAAATTTTGAATATGGAAATAATAATCAACAAACGGACAATCCTTATTGGAGTTCTGGTTATGGAAATAATTATCCATTCACGGAAAATCCGTCACGAATGAATTATCAAGAAAATTTTGAATTTAACAATCAAATTGGAAATCCTTCACAAAATTTTAAAAATGTTGCTTCTTCACAATTTGGAAATTCTCCAGGAAATTTATTTGATGACAATAATAAAAATAATAATAATAATAATTGGTCGTCACAAAAAAATTTTGGTAATTTTAGAACGAATAACAATAATAATAATCAGGAATCACAGTTTTCATCGCAAAATTTTGGTTATGCTTACACACTTCCCACACTATTGGAAAATCCATATCCAAAAATCGGCACCACTAATGAAACTGGTAATGGTAATAAATCTACTTATATAATTTAACTTATTTAATATATGTGATATAATTTTAATATTAATAATAATAAACAAAATGAAACATTAAATAATTTTAGTTCAATTTGAAAAAAAATCAAAACTAATTTATAAAATCTTTTGTATACATATGTAATTTTTCAGGTAATTTCCCTCAAAATTTTGGAGTTCCAGGACAAATGACAACAACGACTGAACAATCTACAATTCCAAGTATTTCACCGTCCGATAGATTTACATGCAAGGAGTAAGTGAAAAATAAAAAATGATAAATTTTTTATAAGTAAATATATTATAATATTAATTTTTAAAAAACATATTAAAAAAGAAAATAACTAAACACACTGTTTTATTTAGTTTGCTGCAGATCATTCCAGCAGATAAACGATGTAATGGCCATTTTGATTGTGAGGATGGTACAGATGAAGAGGATTGTTCTTGTAGAGAAGTTTTACAAAGAGATAATCCAAGAGCCTTGTGTGATGGTCATATAGATTGTTATGATGGCACCGATGAAGAAGATTGCAGTAAATATAATTTATATTAATTTTTTTTAAATTAAAACAAAATTTACAAAACGAGAACATTTTTTCAAAAATTTTATAAAATAATACTAATACTATTATTATAAAATGTCATTGTTACTATAAAAGAATTAAAAAAAAAATTTCCACTATTTTTTAAAGTTGTTTTTTTTATATATCAGTTTCCTGCAACAGCGACGAATATCATTGCCGAAGAAGTGGAACTTGCATCCCAATGATTAAAAGATGTGATCAAACGCCCGATTGTAAATTAAATGAAGATGAACTGGATTGCTGTATGTTTGAAAAAAAACTTTTTAATTAAAAAAAAGCTTCTTTTTCATTGAATATATTTTACAAAAGTTTTTGAGAAAGAAGTTATAAAGTTTATACCACGCAAACATCAATAGAGTAGTTTTTAATTAAATTTTATTTTCTATTTTTTCAATTGAATTAAAAGAAAAATATTTTCTTTTTAATTAAATGAAAAAATTTTGTTTTCAGTTTCTTTAAGTAACGGTGAATATGTCAATTTGGATACTGACGAAAGACCACATTTAAATTCAGAAGGAGTGATAACAATGTTTCAAAATGGCACCTGGGTTCCTTATTGTTATCAACCACAAACTCCAAATTACGTTGACAATTATTTCCATTTAGGATCACGATTTTGTCATTACTTTGGATTTAGGTAAATATTTTTAAAAATAGGTTTAAAAAGTTTAATATTGTATACAATAATTTAAAATTGGACTTTTAATTAATTTTTTTTAATTATTAAAAATGTTTATTAATTAATTAAATTAAAAATCGTTTGAATGTCCTGTTTTAAGAAGTTTTATTTGAAAAAAATGGTATATTATACATAAAGAAAAGAAAGTAGAAAATGATGTGTTTCTTTATAGGTATTTGGATTCGGCAAGAGAAGTCCCAGTGAAAGTAGGAAAATATGAGGAGAGAAGAAATGTGATTGATTATGAATATCCACCATCGTATAAATTTCCAAATAATGATGATAAAAATACATGTTCTGGCCTCTATATTCGATGTAAACCAGTTTTAAGTAATCCCGTGAATGCCTATTTATCGCTTAATCGATTTTCTGAAGAATTTTCCTATCAATGGCCCTGGCAGGGCGCAATTTTCGTCGATGGCAATTATCGATGTCCTGCTATTTTCCTAAAAGACGATTGGCTCCTCACTAGTTCACAGTGTAATCATAATCTCGAGTATGTTTTTGTATTTTTATGAAAACTTCATTTTTTAAATACTTCAACTATATGTATTATTTGATAATTTTTTAATTTATATTATTCATAGTTTATTTATTATTTTTTTTTTTTTGCATTTTGTTCAACATTTTTTTTGGTTTAAATAATTATAAGAAAAATTTTTTTGGGGATGTGGGGATTCGAACCCGGGTTTGACATATGCAAACTGAGAACGCTAACCAAACTGCTACAACGCACACAATTGGGTTAATAATAACCTTTTGAATTTACATAAATATTTAGATTGAAAAGAAAAAATATATTCTATTAGATATTAAAAAAAAACTTTTTTTTAATTTTTGCGTCATTAAAAAAGTAATTAAAAAATTTTTGTTTGTTTGTTTCACAACAGTTTGTCGACAAATTATACCGTTGGAATTTTTGGATTACCATCGTATAACCCAGCTATTTATCGTCCACATCAACAAGTCGTGGAAATCGACGAAATAAAAAGCGTGAAAAATTCTGATGCATCGCTATTTCATTTGAAAAATCCACTCAATAGAACTCGTTACGTGCAACCTATTTTCCATGAAAAAAGGTTAGAAAATATGAAACGTTCATTTTTTTTACACTTAGAAAATTTTCTATTTTTTTATTTTTCTTTCTCTTATTCCATTTTCCTCGTTTTCTTTTCTTATTTTTCGTTTTTATTATTTCATGTATTAATGTTTTTACAAATTTTCTTGATTTTTTTTTTGTTTATCAAATGATGATGATGATGTTTTTCTGTATTTTAGAATATTTTTACCAACTGAGACGGATATTTGTTTAGCTGTCGGAGTGAATAAGTATCACCACAGCAAAAGTATATTTATTAGACCGACACTCGACTGTGATAAATGTCGTCGTTGCTTTATTGAAAATCAACCCTCTTATTGTGCAGTAAGTACAGAAAATACTTTTTTTTATTGAATATCCTTTTTTCCCTTTAATCACCACATGAATGAAAGTTTTGTTTTATCTGTATTAAATTATTTCTATTATTTATAATAATAATTATTAAAAAATTATTTCTTATCAAGAATAATACCAATTCTCACGATTGGAGTGGAACAATATCGTGTTTGGGTCCTGATGGTTGGTATCCATCGGCAGTTTTTGAAAAATTAGACAGCGATTGTAGTTTTCATAATTCAGAAATATTAGATGGTATTGACTATATGTATACACATATTGCTGAGGCAATGAAAAATACTTCGGCGACAGCAGTGGCACCACATTGTGATGGTACAAGATGCCTTCTTGGAAAATGTATACCTTGGAATAAAATCTGCGATGGCATTGATGATTGTCCTGATAAGGCTGACGAACATCCCGAATTATGTGTAGAGGCAAAAAAACATTGCGTTAATGACATTGGAGGATGCAGTAAGTTTTTAAATATATATAATTATATTACTTTTGTTTTTACTAACGCTTGGTAATTTTTTCATTCCTTACTTTTGAAGCCTCTTTAAACCACGCCCATTCTAACTAAATTTAGCGTTAGGGTGCATTTAATCGTCCCGAGACGGACGCTCTATTGGTAGTCGAGCGTCAATGGCTCCTTCGCTGCTACCCGACTACCAATAGAGCGTGCGTCCGAGCGTCGAACGAGTATAGAATTGGGACGCTAATTTTTTCTCTCTTTCGCTCTCATCTCATCTGGATCGAAAAATTCTTTCTGTTTTAGAATGTAATGTATCTGAAATGCGTTGTGGCAATGGAAAATGTATTCCAAAATCAAGCTTCTGTGATGGAAATAAAGATTGTGATGATGGCAGTGATGAACCACGAAAGTGCACATGTGCAGCATATTTAGCATTAACTGCGAAACATAGACTTTGCGATAATAAACGTGATTGTTACGATAAATCCGATGAGGATCCCAGTATATGTGAATGTAAAGACGCAAGTTTCTTCTGTAAAAGGTAAATTTTAGAAAACAAAAAAATCATTTTTAATGGATTCAAATCAGGCTCGGCGTTAGTTGAAGTAGCGCCCGGGGCAAATATGAATAAGAGGGTGCCTTTTTATGATTCTTAAAATATATTTTTTTATATTCTTTCTCGGAGAATTAATGATTAGTATTTATTATTATAAATTTTGCTATAACTTCCATGTATTTTCTATATTTTGAAAGCAATTAGTCTCATTATGTAAAAATAAGTTATTTTTTCAAAATTTGGAAAAAGACCAGTGTATTTAATTTAGATTACTTTATGCTTGTATATATACAGAAAAGATCAAAGGGAATATCCTACCTGTGTCTCAACTGATATGGTTTGCGATGGAGATAAAGATTGTCCTGATGGTGAAGATGAGGAACAATGTGTAGATATTCAATCTGCAACAAAACAACAGTAAGTTCATAATATTCGTTATTTTTTCATTTTCATAAATTAATTTTCTATTAAATAGCCGAGAGTATTTGTTTTATTTAAATATTTGAAATTAGGCAAATTGGGTCAAAGTATTATCATAGCCATAGCAACCCTTAAGGTAATTGAATTCTTTTTTTTATCTTTTGTCATAGAAAATATAAAGGAGAAGTGATAAAACAGACGTACGGTGTATGGCACTCGTATTGTTTTGAGCGGCCAGTGACGTCAGATGTGGAGGCAGCAAAATTATGTCGCTCATTGGGTTATCATACTGGAATGTTGGCCAATGACATGTCAATGATGTCTCACATGAGACCAGTAACAACTGCGACAGATGAATTTTTCGTGATTCGAATTAATGAACAAACATTTTTAAGTATGCGTCAAGATCGACCACTTGTCACATTAGTGGAAGCTAAACCGCCATGTTATCGACTGTTTGTACAGTGCGCTTAAAAAATTCTAAAATCACACAACATGTTTTAATTTTTTACATTTTGTTTTTAGCCTCGAATTAATTATTGTATATGGATTATTAATTTTTTTACCATTTCAGACTCACAATTATTATTTTATTTACAATATTATAAAGCGCAGTTTTTTAAAAAAATAATGTAGAGTTACAATTATTTTTAGTTAATTTTGGCGCCTATCGAAATTTGGCGCCTATATTACCTTCAAATATAGCTTTTTAAGAATAATCATTATTTGCGAATATATTAGTTTTAATATTTTTTATGTTCTGGATCACCCTTAAAAATTTTTTTTTTTGTTTTTTAAACATAAGAAAATAAATAAAAAAATTTTATGAGTCATGCGGAACATAATGATTATGCATGTTTTTATAAGGAAACTATTTGACCTAGAAGGGATGTGATGAGGAGATACATCTGATTGTTATATAGTCGTCAAGCTGATCCCTTCCTATTATTTCCAGTTCTCTGGTGGTTTCAAGTTTATGGATTGCCTAAAATATAACACAGGTTTTCCATTTACTGAGGTTTTATATACTTTTTGTCTTTGTACGAAAAATCTAGAACTAAAAGTGTCTTTAACAAATTTTATTCTATTAAATTTAATAATATAGAGTCAAATTATGTATGTACAATATATAAAATGTAACAGAAAAAAATTTGAGGTAATGGAAATAATAAGAAAGATGATCAGCTTAAAAAAATCAACTAGTATGGCTACACTATTAAAAGTTAGCATAAATAATTTATGTAATTGATGTAATATTCAAATAAATTGTAATATTTTTTAATTGGTTTACTCTGTTTATTATAATAATAATAATAAACAACAAGAATAATATAGTGTGTTATTATATTATATTATAAATTTGAAGGTGGGAAAGTGCGCAACTTCCGAAAAGTATATGTACATACCTGCAAGCTTGGGACACAAAGGGTCCCGTTTTAAATAGGTAAATTTCAATTATTTCACGTGAGGTAGGTCCAGTCTAAATAAAATAGTCCTCAAGTTCTAACTAAATACCTTCTAGTTGTACTATTCAATTCAAATATATCATTTCTTTCATTAGAAAAATAACCACTGTGAATAAATTTTTTTCCAATTTTTTTTATATTAAAACAAAAGTGAAAATTCTTTGTTATAAAAGAATTGTTAATTTTTTTGTTTATCAAAATTCAAAATTTTAAGTTGATTCTTTTTTGAATTATCATTCTTAAAAAGATAAATTTTTTGCCAATAAAAAATGATTCCTTTTAGCAATTCATGTGAGTATCAAAAAATTTTATATCATCATAATTGTTTATTATTATTTTTAAAATATTTAAAATTATTACCTATTGTTATTATTATTTTTATCTCTTATCTTTTAAAAATAAAATTTGTACAATGTTAAAATAATTTCAGTTAAATGCATCATTAAAAATGATGAAAATAACAACTTCTCGACAACTATACTTGAGAGAAGAAAGAAAATTTGTGGTTTCCTAGGATTTGCAATAATTTTATTGGGTTTTATTTTCCTGATGTCAAACTTATGGATATTATTACAAGAAGGTAAGTGCGTTTACATTGGACATTTTCTGTATCCTTTACACAAATACAAATTAATATTTTAATAATATAAAAATTGTAAAATTTTTAGATAAATATCAACCAAAAAAATATTGCAAGGATCTAATGGATCTTGTGAAATTGAAAAAAGATGAAAAGAAATCATCAACAAGCATTGGACGTTACAAAAGAGATGCCTATAATGATGTACAAGTACAATATTGTTTAAGTTTTAATATTGGTTGTACAATTATTTACACAGAAATATTAAATATCGCCAATAAATGGTTACAAATAAAATCAAATTCACATTATCCATTGAATGTGATGAAATATAAAATAGAAAATTTTGTCAATGAATTACGTGAATGGCAACGTGAAAAAAATTCGGCTATTAATTTTTGTGTTTTATGCGAGGTAATTAAGAGAGGAAACAATAGAAAACTCGCTTATTATAATTTAATGCCAAAAAGTTTTCTACACAAATCAATACCAATACCAATACCTGATGATTTTGATATTGAAAATGTTATTTTGTAAAACACTTTTTTTTGAAAATTTTTATTGTTTAATATGTATGTTTAAAGAAAATGTGCATTTTTTAATACTTTATTTGACTGTATTATATTTCTTTCGTTTTTGGAAATTTTTTTTTAATTTGAAAGTTTTATGTATACTTGAAATATTATTTATGTAAATTATTTATTACGGCGAAATTATTTTGTATTTTTTTAATTTATAAATGTTCAAGCATAATAATAATAATAATAAAATAATTGTTATTTATAAACAAATTTAATTAAGTTCTAATATTATTTTACTTTTAGAATGTAATTTACCTATACTTGAATGATTTTATAAAAAAGGAAACGTTCTTTCGAGTACTTAAAATTTCGACAATTTTTCTTCATTTTGAACGATCGTAGGTCAGAGGCCATACATTTTTTGTTTTTTATTAAAAAGAATGTTATAAAAAAATAAGGTAAAAGTGAATCTGATATCTTTCTCTGATTATTTTGTAATTATTAAAAAGAAAAATAATAATTCATAATAATAAATTCATGATCAGATCAATTAAAAGCAATCTGAATAATTTAATAGGATATTTACACTGAAAACCATGCATGTATAAGAGCTATTTGAAGAGATGCACTTGAAAGATAATTATTTATTATTTCACTGAAAAAAATAGTTTACGTTGTCATATATGGTGTAGTTGAAAGCAAATGCTTTTTTATTGAGAGAATTTCGTTAATAGTAAATTACTCAAATTCAATTTTTTTTTCTTTAAAATAATTATGAAGATATATCTTAAAAATTTTCGTGAAACAATGTATCCTCTTTTTATACTCAATTGGTTGACAGGACTGGGTTTAACTAATTATCCAATTGGAAATAGAAGACATCAATTATTTCTTCTACCTATTATTACAATTGCAATATTCTTTTGGATGACATCATTATTAATTGATTTTCAATTTATATCCTGTTTTAATTCATCAAGTAAAGGACACAATACGAGAAGTAAAGTTTTATTATATTTTGAAACATTGACAGCTACATTTGCAATTTTTAATGGCTGGTTCAATCGTGAGGTAAGTAAACAAGTTTAAATATTAATTACAATTCCTAATTTTTTTTTTTTAAAGTATATAAATTTCGATATTTTTTTTTAATAAGAAAATGGACCAATTAACGGACAAAATGGAAGGATTAAATGATAATTTCAAACTATTGGGATTTAAGAGAAATTATTATAAAACTTTTAAACAAATCTCGTGCCGAATATTTGTTTACTTGTTTCTAATTATTTCCCTGTATATTGTCAATGTTTTGATGTATTCAACGGACAATTTTTACAAGCGAAAAATTCTTTGTCCTTTCATTATTCATTGGTCTTTATGTGCAACTACTGTGGTCGACTTGAGTTTCATTTTTACTCTTCAGTAAGTTTATTTTATCTAATAAGCACATCTGCCCTAAAACGGAAAAACATACGTAAGTGTCCACTTATGTATGTTTCTCCGTTGTAGAGCAGATACAAAAATCGTATATACCTAATGGAAATTTATTTAGAAAATTTTATTTTTGACATAATTATAATATGGAATAGATTCTTTGAAGCAAAATTAAAGAATTTAAAAAGTCTTCTGCAATCGAACTATAGTAAAAATTCAGAGATATTATCATCTCAAAACAATGGAGTAAATCATCGTGTATCAATTTCAAATTTATCGATTAACATTGAATTGGAAATATTCATACAAAGAACTAGAAATTTTGTCAAGCTAATGCAGTAAGTATTTCTTTTTAATTTTTATATTCTTTATCTTATTATTTAATATCTTTATTTTAATATATAAATGTCAACTAAAGATTTTTATATACTTTATGTATATAATTTTTTTCAGACGCATTCACCTTATACTTTATGACCAATTATTGGAAATAAATGAGATATATGGAAAATATTTGCTTTTACAAGTAATTGTAAATTTTGTTGGCTTAATATGTTGGTTTTTTAATATAGCAATGAATTTACATGAGTCGAAAAAATTGCAATTTGATATAGAGAATGGATATTTTCTATTGAAATGTGTATTAATTCTTTTAAAATTATTTCATATTAACATTTCATGTGCAGTCATCAGTAAAGAGGTAAATTTTTTTTAAAAATATTATTAATTTCACTTTAGTCTATTTTTTTATTTCATTTAATTTATTTTTAAAATTTTCTAATTTACATAATATATTTGATTAAATAAAATAAATGATTAATTATAACACATTTTTATATATTATCGTAGATTGAGAATATAAAAAGAGTTCTTGAAGATATGAAGGAATTAAGAAAATACTGTTTTTTAAAAAAAGAGGTAATTATCAATTATTATTATATTAGAATAATTTTAATTATTTTTTGCAACACTAACCTCTAAAGTTAAATTTTACACACCGAAAACTGTGTGTAAAGAAGCTCTTTTTAAAACGGTGTGTAAAGTGATTTACTTTACGCACCGAAATTTATCTTACATAATATAAGGATATGGTTTTAGACCATACAAAACCACAAAATTAAAGAAAGAACTTTACTTTTAAATTTATACACTCCCGCTTAATGATATTTTTCCTGATCTTCGATTGATTTATTTAATTCTATACAATCGAAATTATTCTAATAGAGAGTTGGAATTCTTCATGATAGGTACTCAACTTTAGAGGTGGGTGTTGCAAAAAATGTTGTACACGTGCGTAAATCTGATTATACTCGTATAATCACTCACTTTACGCACTTGTATCATAAATAACTATTTTATCATCAGATTGATTGGTTTTACACACAATTAAATTGTCTCCATTTCGATTTTTCAACTTACGGATTTGATAATTTTGGAATTGACTTTACATTGAAGGTAAAAATTTTTATAGAGAGGAGAGGAGCGGACAACAGTGGATCATTTCAGATTTTTGGTAGTTTTTTTAAATCATTTTTTCGAAAATGAAAATGATCCACTATTGTCCACTCTCCCGTATATAAAATATTTATTAGTTTATTTATTAGTTTATAGGAAGTGTCTTTTTATATGTTTGTCTGTCTGTGGTACTCCAAGTGGTAAACCCAACAGTGAAATAATGTTCGATATTACAGGTACCTATATTATGAAACATACACAATGTAGGTACTATAACATTTCTTAAACAAGATTAATAATAAGGAAATTTTTAATAATAATTTTATATAGGTATATTATATATAATGTTATATAATCATAATAATATATCTTATATGCATATCAGTATTTTGTTAAAATTCAAACTTGATAACTACTGACCTCTTTGGATTTATGAAGAAACTTCCTAAGAAGAAAACTCTTGTGGTAAAGTTCCTTCACCATATTTCATTACCTTCCGAGTAATAAATTCAACTGAATTAAAAGTTACAAAATAATTTGATGCAGAGAATTTATTTTTTCTAAAAAATTTAAATAATTTAGGTAATGAATGCTTTTGTAAAATAATATATATGTAATAAGTAATAATAACATACAATGTGTATAAAATATTTTTCATTATTTTATTATCATTTATCATGTATAACAAGCGACAAATGTCAAAAATAAAAATTACGGATATAATTTCGTGAATATGAAATTTTTTTTCATTTCTTTCAGTAACTATTAGGTATTTGTTTAATATAGAATCTAGGAAAAAAGGTTAAAATTCCCAGTGGAGAAATTAGTCATCTGAATGTGAATGGTGTCGTTTTGTGCATGCTCATAGCAAGCGCAGTCGTTTGCCTTCAACGGCAGCGACCCCATTCGATACATTCTTTCTCCCTCTTCTCACCTAAGGAAATCGGTATAACTATCAAGAAAGGGATTCAATAAAGCAAAAAATTCTAGGTTATGTTTATGATTGATTAGAGTAAAAATACACAAAAAGTATCAACTTTCAATGCAAAATTTTTATCATGTTTAAGTTATCATTACACATCAAAAATAAAAACTGATTTTGAGTTTACATATAATTAGAAAAAGAACTTTTAATCAAGGTAAAATTATCATACACATAACCTCTGATTTTTTGTTCCTCAAATCAATTTCTTTAGATTGAGTTTGTTAAACACTTAAATTACTTTTAAAAAAGCGTCTTTATAGTCTATCTTTTTCTTATTTAATTTAAAAAATAAAAGTATGTTATGGAATTTCTGTATATAGAAATGTGGTCAATGAGATATTTATGCAAAGAATCCGATTGAAAAAATGCAATTACTATCGTGAATAGTATCTTCAGCCTTGCTTGGAATGTAATATTTGACCGGATGCTGCACCGTTCACATTGCTTATAGGCCTTTAAGACTTTGCAATGGAATAAACATGCACCGTATTGGAATGTACAATAAACTGTTAATTCATCCCCTCAGTGTGTATATTCACTGACTCACATATGTTATTCAATCCTCATTTCACATGCATTAAAAAAACAAAATGAGAAATATATATACTCTCTAAATCTGAATCAACGCGGATTCTCGATGATTCAACTATACCACTTAAAGTTGATTCAAATTTAGAGAGTAACAAGTTCCTCGTGCGTTACAATTAATAAAATAAAATATTTGTTATCTTATTCAAACATATAGGTATATAATTTTTTTCGTTCTCTCAGATTGAAAATTTCATATTTATCCACATCTTTTATTTACAAACAGGTGGGAATTTTTTTTCAGAATTAACAATCAATTCTCCATCACTCGTAGAAGGTACCCAAATATTACGATGACAAATAAAATTTGAATCTCCTTCAAGCACATGTTTTGAAATGCAATATATTGTCATTGTCGTATCCCATTCGTCATTCATTATTATTGCATTATCCATATTTATTCGTACACAACCTGCGGATAAAAATAATAATTAATATATTAATAATTTATTTTATTCCCTAAAAACTTGTTATATTCGGGAGGGTTCCTTGGAGTCTGTTATTGTATTTTTGAAATTTAATTTTAGACAAATACTTACGTTCACAATTTTTGTAATTAATATCACCTGTCCAATTTCCATTAATGCATCGTCGCTCTCCCATCTATGGAAAATAATTTCATGCAACATTTTTATGAAAGGTGAATATACAAATCGTTAAAAAAAATTTTCTCCTATATCTACTGAATATTAAGTTAATTTTTGAAATTTTTATTTATTTATACATTCAGAGAGTGATTTGTTTGAAACACTTTAATTATCAACTTTTGAAAACAAAATTATTTACATATATTTTTTTTTTTTGACTTACAGATAAGTTTTCTCGGACTGCTGTCATTTCTATTGTTCTTAAATAACTACCAGAATCATCGCAATTTATTCTAGCAACATTGCCATCTTCCAGAAATGTTACACTTGAACTTCCATATTCGAACGGTGGACATTTCAGTGTTTCTGTTAATTTACATTGAGGTGGTGTTTTCAACCATTTTCCATCATCACAAGTTACTGATTGTTCTCCGATCAGTGTATAATTTTCATTGCAATAATAATTTAAAGTAACCGTTTTCTTGTCAGGAAAAGTTTTCTTTACATATCCATTTGATAAATTATTAAACGTAGAATTACTTAAGCAATTATGATCTGAAATTTTTTAATTTAAATGTAATTCCAGATAAACAAAAATAAAATTTGATATTTTTCCAGCTTTATCAAAATCGACGATGTAAATATTGTTGCGATCCCATTTACGTATGCAATGATTTTGTTTCAATATTTTTTTAAGTATTCATATTAAATGTAAGAACAAAAATAAAAGAAATACTTACGATAACAGTTGGTAATTGCATATCTACTTTCATATGGTATATAACTATATGAAGGAAGCCATCTACCAGTAGATGGATTACAGTTTAAAATTTCATCTACAATAGGCTCGTAATTTGTATTACAATACAATTTCATTGACATGAACCATTTAGAAACTGAAGCTCGTCCATTTTCAACTGTAGTATGACATTGCAAAGCTGCAAAATAAATTTCATGAAATGTGGGAACAACAAATGTCCTGGAAGTGCAGGTAAAATTTGGTTTGAATTTTTCGTATTCTAATTACTTTTAAACGAAATGGAAAGAAAAAAAGAATTACTTACGTAGGCAAGTTTTGTCACTTTCAATATTTATGCCCCAAGTTCCATTAATGCATTTATTCACTCCCTGCGGATGTAAAAATATTTTTGATAAATCACATTTTATTAAAATAAATCCAATTTTTAATATACAAATGAAAAATAAAAGAAACAATACTTTGGAAATTTTTTTAAATATTAAAATACACTTACAATAGCTGCATTTAAATTTTCTGATTTTTTTTCTTTACCATTATAATAAGAAAATTCATTGCATTCTATTCTTGCATGTAGTTCTTTGCCATTCTTAGTGAATGTAGGAAAATTTTTTCTATAACGAAATGGAAGACACTCCAGTTCCTTTGTTAATTTACATAGAGGTGGATCATTAAACCATTTTCCATTTATACACATTGACCAATTTTCGCCAATCAATGTGTAATTTATGTTGCAATAATTTTTTAAAAATGTAAGTCCTGAATATTCTAGTTCTTGAAAAGCAACTTCACCATTTTCAATATTAAAATGACGTACTGAAGAACCATTAGAACACTCAATGGAATGAGTTGTAAACGATGAAAAGTCATTTGCTGTAAAAATTTTAAACAATATGAACAACGTAATCGAAAAAGTAAAAGGAAATTATTAATTCTCTTTTTTTGTACATATTTTTCCAATAGAAAAAACACTTGCCAATACATTGGGGATAATTTTTTTGTTCCCATTTTCCATTACTGCATATTATTGTTGAATTTCCACTAAGGGAATAATTTAAATCGCAGGTTAATGTCGCAATGTCACCTTCGTCATTTAGTTCAATTTGTCCATATTCAAAACTAATTTTTGGACATTTGAGATTTTCCGATAATTTACATTGAGGTGGTAGATTTGACCATTCTCCATCTAAACATACTGCCCAGTTTTTTCCTATCAATGTATAATTTTTATTGCAACTATATGCAATAAAAACTTGTCCATCGACACCAATTTTTCTATCTTCTGCCATTCCATTATCGATGTAGTAATACGTTTCGGATGTTTTCAAACACGTATAAGCTGTGTAATTTTCATAAATTAAAATTATTTCTTGAAAATAGAGTTAGCGTTAATTAAAATATATACAGTATATGAAAATTGTGAAATACTTACGAATACATATGGGTCGTTCACCACTCCATTTTCCATTAATGCAAGTTAGAGTAGAATCTCCTTGTAGTACATGAAAATCATTGCAAAGTACGAGCCCTTCGTTATAATTTTCCAGTGTAACAAATTGTGCATTCTTTATTTCCAGTGGCTCGCATTTTAATTCAGTTTCTGTAGAGGATTGTACATTTGGAATAAATATTGCGATGAAAATTGTAAGAATCAATTTATTACGATCAAAATCCATTTTTTGACTTTGTGAAAGAACACGAAAAATGTTAAATAAGTGTGATGATGATACTTCTCAACTAAAAAAAATACAATTCCGAATACTCTTATATATGACTTGTTATTAATATATTATAAAGTTTACTCAGTTTTATACTGGTTACAAAATTTAATATTTATTCGTAATTCAATATTTATTTTGCATGTGGTAAATTTTTATCATCTATAATTTACAAACATTAATATCAGTTAAAAAATTATTCCATATTAAAACATATTATTTTAGAAAAAAATATTTTTATTCTCTTATCAATTTTTTTCCTAGTAATTTATTTAACATAGGTAAAATAAAAAAGAAAAAAACCTACTCTTCAAACTATCGTGAATATTTAATTTCTATAAGTCAATTTCAAATGTTAATTTTCTTATCATATTTTTCACAATCAAGTCTTATTCTAATAGAACATTTCCCAACAATTATTAAAAGTTATTTAAATTAAATTTAAAAAAAAAGAAAAGATTATTGAAAATTATTAAAAGTAAAAAATATGGAAAGGTGAAATAAAAATGTGGTGTATGCTAATAATTTATTGATATACATATTATATATTAGTACAATTATTATTCATATATGTATATTTTATTATTTGCTATCAAAAATATGTTAGAAGTTTATAAAGTAGACTTTATATCGAAATGAATTTTTATATTTAGAAGAATTTTAATTTAATTCTCATTATTCATTATAACAGAATTTATATATTAAGCAAAAATTTCTATAAGGGTATGTCCAACATGTGAAATGTCCAACAAACCATGCACATTTTTTCGCACTTCTCATTTGCGTATAGAAAATAAAAATTTCTTTATGAAAATGGTAAATTAATGTATTAAACTTGGTATTTCATTATAATTATACTTATTTGTTCACATAATTAGTTCAATAAAGTATAGTTACCTAGTCTAATATATTAATTTACCATTTTTACAAAAAAACGACAATTTTTTACTTTTTATTCAAATGAGAACTGCAAAAAAATATGAGAAAAATTCTAATTCAGTGTACTTTTCATTTTATTATAATTATACTTATTTGTTCAGAAAATTTGTTAAAAGAAGTATAGTTACCTAGTAGAATATATCAATTTACCATTTTCACAAAGAAAATAACAAATTTTTATTTTTCATTCAAATGAGAAGTGCGAAAAAACTTTTCAAAATCTAAACAAATCATGCCCATTTTTTCTTATTCACCACTATTTTCACCTTATGAAGAAGCAATTATTAAATAGTTATTTATGATACAAGTGCGCGTAAAGTGAGTGATTATACGAGTGTGACGTTTGCAGCACGAGTATAATCAGATTTACGCACGTGTATCATACAACATTTTTTGCAACACCCACCTCTAAAGTTAAGTACCTATTATGAAGAATTCCAACTCTCTATTAGAATAATTTCGATTGTATAGAATTAAAAAAATCAATCGAAGATCAGGAAAAATATCATTAAGCAGGAGTGTATAAATTTAATAGTAAAGTTCGTTTTTTAATTTTGTAGTTTTGTATGGTCTAAAACAATTCTTATATTATGTGAGAGAAATTTCGGTGCGTAAAGTAAATTTCAGTGTGTAAAGTAATATTTCAGTGCGTAAAGTGAATCACTTTACACACCGTTTGAAAAAGAGCTTCTTTACACACAGTTTTCGGTGTGTAAAATTTAACTTTAGAGGTTAGTGTTGCAAAAAATATATTTTTTCATTATCCAAGTTTAAAATTTGCACATATATAGGTATATATGTGACGCGCTCTGAACAAAGGGGACTTAAGAAGCAAACGTATTATTGTTATGTTTACGACAGTTTTATATTTATTTGATTAAAAATTTCTTTTTATTTAAGTAATATTAAAATCAGTTTTAATTATAAATATTTTGAATGTAATGATTACTCAATGGTTTCCTTACTTTTTGAACACCCTGTATATAAATGCTAATGATGAGTGTTTGTTCGGACATTTGCAAATTTCGTTCTAATGAAAATAGATAAATATTTCTACATTATATTATATATAGTATTTGAAATATCTGGAAGAAAGACAGTATTTTTCACATATAATATAATTATGTGATCGACATAATTTTTTTCCCTCTTCACAAGAGTAACGAATGTCAAAAAGAAAGTGAAATCCAATTGCTGAAATGATGAATTGTCTCGTTTGTGCCAAAAAAAATTACGCGCTCACTGATATTTTAAAGAAAGAAGAGGATATAAAGAAGAATAAGTAAAAATAGTTGTGTGACAATGACGATGATCCAAAAAGAGGTGAATTTCCTAACGATACGTATGCAAAGCAGATAATAGTGAGGATGGCCGCGAATCGACAGGAAGCTGTGCCAAGTTTAACGGTATCCACCAACGTGGCTTCGCACTTGAACGATTTTGCCTCCCACCATACACAATTTCAACAAGTCACTCTATGTATAAGTATATATATAGCAACTATATAAGTATCAAGTTATCGGTTAACTATATGCAGTCACAATTTTAATGCTCATCACTTTGTGAAGTTTAGAATTCGATAAAGCATGCCAAAGGACATTTACCTCTCGATACGCTGCTAACACAGAAAATTATAAGGTATTAAAATAAGCGGCAACGCTTATTATTTTAATCCAATTTTGCTTATTTTAATACCAAAATGGATTAAAATAATAAGCGTTGCAGCTTATTTTAATGCCTTTTAATTTTCTGTGAATACTTCCCTAGACGAATCGATCACTCTTCAATTTTTTTTATTAGTATAATTATTTCCCGACAATATTCGTTTTCTCACATATAGAAAAAAATATACATTCTTATTCTTTTGTTACAATAATATTCCTATGTAGGTTCAAAAAATAAACAAATACCTATTTACAATTAAAAATCTCTAAAATAATAAGTGATATTTCGAAAATTTCTCTAAAATTCTATAATTTAATATTTAATCTAAATGCCTCATGTATTTATTATTTTGGACTTGATAAAAACTGTCGAATTACATATCTATATATTAACGACAGAGGTTATAGTGCCATCAGTTTTGTTTGTTATCTATTGTTTATAAATGAGTAGTAAATAATCTTTTTTTCATCTACTTTCTATTCTTATCCTCTGTCGATATATTAGGCCACTGAACTGTTTTTCTTTCCTACTAGGCATTGCTTATAAAATTGAAAATTATTATATTTTCTCCTATGAATGAATGCACAATACGTCTTCTTTTGGGTTTTCTCAAAAATATTCTCTCTTTTCAAAGGCGGTAAAGAAAAAAAGAGGTGAATAAAAGTGTGAAAAAGTTCTAGAATGCGATAATGCGCGCGTATACCTATATAGATATATAGCGCATTACCTGCGCTTTCTCTTCGTCATCTCTTTTCGTTCGTCATCCTTCTTGTTATATACGTAAAAAAGGTTTTCTCTCGGTACTCAACAAACTTCTCTTTCTCTCTCACATCCATATATACATGCGCCACATATATTCAATTCACTTTGTCGATGATTTTCTTCTCTGTTTCTCTCGATTCAAGGCTCGTTTCTTTAATCGCCACTGAAGCACGCAGCGAGATCAACGGTACTTCTCGAAGAACAAAATTATACGTGCTTGTCGTAGGGGAGAGCGGGGCAAAGACGCTAATGTAACGTTTATTTTTAAATATTTTCGTTATTACACCATCAATTTACGTGATTTTTTTTTCTAATTAATTTCAAACTAATTAACAACAAATTTTAATAATAATTCTTTAATTTATTATAAGCATGATTATTTAATTTAATTATTTTCAAGAAGATGCAAAAAAAACGGCTTTGCCCCTTATGGCGGGGCAGCGACGTTTTTGCTTATATTTTTAAAAGGAAGAAAATTGTAGCCGTTAAAACTGTACGAACTTGCAGTAAATGGCCGAATATCTTTGAAACATAAGTATTTAGTACATTTTTTTAAAAGAATTTGAGATATTTTATAAAAAATAATCATTACTTGTATTTTTAACCTCACATTTTGAATTAGATTCTCCACTGTTTCATTAAAATATCTACTTTACCATCTATTCAAATTGAAAAACAATTGAAATAACCGCACGAAAATATAATGAAATAAAAAATAGAGTTACATTAGCGGCTTTGCCTCGCTTTTCCCTACGTCCTTACGGACATGTAAAAAAGAGTCAGTATTAAACTAACCCCTTTACCCCTCATCTAGTGAGAAGACTATTGGAAAGACAAATCTCCCCCTACTCATTCCAATCTTGGATATTTTTTAACGCTCGAAAATCACTCCAATTTGGCAATTGTTCTTTATTTATTATTCCCAATTTCACAAGTCCCAAATTTAAAATGTTTCTACCCGCGTTTACATCACGATTCCATGAGATTTTACATGATGCACAATAAGCTGTTCTGTTTCTGAAAATGTCCATGTTTTCGTTGCAAGTGCTGCAAAGTTTTGTGGTTCGATGTTCATCGATAAAAACAATTCGTAAATTTGGATATTTAGATTGCTTTTCGATTAATCTCCTCACAACTTTTCTTAACGGCATCCGCACGTGGCCACGCATCCATGGTGATATTTCAGGTGATCCAATCACCAACAGTTGTTTCCTCTTTACATCGCCAACCATGTAATTTGCTAAGAGATCTGTTTCACGTTGTACTGACATGTACTTGTCCCATTTCAAAGCCGCTATTTTTCGTTTTTCAAAATAAGGTTGATTTCGTTTTAGCGCTGTCAATAAATATTCTGTTGATATTAAAATTTGTTGAGGATCTTTGTGATTTACTTTGTCACGATATTTTTCACTTACTTGCAAATCGTGATAATATTTTTTATAATTTTTTGTCTCATTATAAAGAATGCTTTGTCTCTTATTCTCCTGAGTTTGCCATCTGTAAGATTTTGTAGAAATTTTTATATGTTTATCTATACATTTAATATCGAAATTATCATTCATTTTTCTTTCTACTCCAGCAAATCCAAATTTCAAACCTGGGTCAAGACCCTTGAACACTTCATATTTTGTTAAATCTCGCGATTCTTGTTGCTGTAAAGGAGAAAAATTTGTTATATTTTTTGGTTTAACAA